ATGTTGCTAAAAAAAGAATCAAATAGCTTAGAACTCGGAAACGTTGCTTAAAAAACCTACGGAAACTTGTCAATTATCGTAACCTTACTGTGTTTCATCGATCTCCCATTTATTTTCAGAAAACAGTCTCCATGTTCACGTATCCCATAGTTTATGTTTTTTCACACACAGAAAAAGGAAACTTCAGCAGGACAGAAACACTCCTCTTTGAGGATATCTACTGAGCCTTTTTACCCGACCAAGTAGCAACTGGTAGTACGAACTTTCGGTGCTTTTGCTTACATTATAATCTTAGATTTCACTGGTTTGGATATTATATCCGTCTTTACAAATGTTCTAATTTATCTAGAGCAGTATTATCTAATGTCTTATGCAACCATTTCTTAAACTCTTTCAATAATGAGTAGAATTGTCAACGGTTAGCCGGTCCAACGGTTTCTCGGGCGGAATACCACAAACCGGTTACCAAAATCAATGACCGAATAGCCATACATTTATTTACCCCTTTTGGGAGACCTATGTTTCCATGGCTTAGCCCTAAAAATTATCTATAGATTCGACCAAAATCGGATAGTTTTGTAACAATTTAGTGTTCAGGCTGCCATATTGGTGTTGTTTTTGTACTCTATTGTAAAGATTGACAAAGAGTTTCCGCCAGCACCATTACAAACCTGAACAGATTTTATATGTACGTCGTTCTGGCCGATCCGTGGGACACAGCCGCTACGACTGTCTGTCCGCATCTGAGGAGCTGTCCGACCTCAGAGCGTGACCTGGAATCAGGATGGGCAGGCGCCAACTTACCCCCTCACGTCGACCGAACACCAACTTCGCCAGTGAGTCACTGGAGGGTACATGCTTGAATACGCAATCATGTATTAAAACGTTTGTCAATTAAATTTTGTTCTAAAGAGCAATGCTTTCACATATGAGTTCGAGTAGAGAAACGTACTGTAATTGAATCTCGCCTTACTGCATTCCGACATTTGTTATCCATGAAATATACTTACTGAGGTTACATGTAACTACTCACTGCGTTTAACTTGAAACACGCGAATAAACTATTATGCTTATTGATATATACTTTCTAAACATATAACGTATTGTTGACCGATTAACCGGTTACTCGATCGAAAGTACAAGTAACCATGATTATTTTATCTTTAATAACGAAATTCACCATTCACAGTGATGCTATTTAAAATAATCATATCTCATGTTTACAATAAAAATAGATTCTGTAAGAAACGGTCGCCTTGCTCATGGTAAGCAGGCGATGAACGCAATGATTTCAATTTCCCGCTTCGTTACATTACAGTGTATAGACACAGTGTATAGACACAGTGTATAGACACAGTGTAAAGACAAAGTATATAGACACAGTGTATAGACACAGTGTAAAGACAAAGTCTATAGACACAATGTAAAGACAAAGTCTATAGGCACAGTGTAGAGACAAAATCTATAGACACAGTGTAAAGACAAAATCTATAGACACAGTGTAGAGACACAGTGTAGAGACAAAATCTATAGACACAGTGTATAGACACAGCGTATTGACACAGTGTAAAGACCAAGTCTATAGACAGAGTGTAAAGACAAAGTCTAACGACACAGTGTAGAGACAAAATCTATAGACACAATGTAAAGACAAGTCTATAGACACAGTTTAAAGACAAAGTATATAGACACAGTGTAAAGACAAAGTCTATAGACACAGTGTAAAGACAAAGTATATAGACACAGTGTAAAGACAAAGTCTATAGACACAGTGTAAAGATTAAGTCTATATACTTCGTTTATAGACACAGCGTATAGACACAGTGTATATACAGTGCAAAGACAAATTATATAGACACAGTGTAAAGACAAAGTCTATAGACACAGTGTAGAGACAAAATCTATAGACACAGTATAAAGACACAGCGTATAGACACAGTGTATAGACAGTTTATAGACAAAGTCTATAGACACAATGCAAAGACAAAGTCTATAGACACAGTGTAAAGACAATGTCTATAGACACAGTGTAAAGACAAAGTATATAGACACAGTGTATATACACAGCGTATAAACACAGCGTATAGACACAGTGTTTAGACAGTGTAAAGACAAAGTCTATAGACACAGTGTATAGACACAGAGTATAAACACAGCGTATAGACACAGTGTTTAGACAGTGTAAAGACACAGTGTATAGACAGTGTATAGACAAAGTCTATAGACACAGTGTTAAGAGAAAATATATAGACACAGTGTAAAGAAAACATATATAGATACAGTGTACAGTCAAAGTCTAATACCACAGTGTACAGTCAAAGCATTTAGACACAGTTTATATACACAGCATATATGCACAGGTTATAGACAGTGTATAGACAAAGTCTATAAACACAGTGCAAAGACAAAGTCTATTGACACAGTGTAAAGACAAAGTCTATAGACACAGTGTATAGACAGTCTATAGACACAATGTAAAGACAAAGTCTATAGACACAATGTACAAACAAAGTCTATAGCAATCTAATTAAAATTATATCTTCACATCGCTCCCGTTTACTGATATGTCGCGTTGAAGATCTAACAACGTCCCGTAGAGGGTCATGTTCAGGCGACCTTTGCATTAACCAATCAGATGAGAGCTTACGCATTTCTGTAAGTGATGATGTAATGATTTCGGAACACACTTGCTATGATAAAAGACCGAGAGGTGTCAAATGAGCATCGAAAATGGCGACGCCCATGACACCACGCCGTGTCTATCTACAAGACAACGTTTGTACAATTTGTGGATTTTGCTTTGAAATAAGAGAGACTTCCTCTTCTGGTTAAAATATTTAACAACCTGAAACTAAAATTAACCAATGACAGGCTTCGCAATATTCAAACTATCACTGGACCAGACGAAAAAGTGGATTTTGGGCTACGAGGTGTCTGCATTAAATGCTACAGGTCCTGCTTTCTGATTGGTTGAAAGAAAGAGTTATGTCGCGTTTTGATTGGCTTGTTATAAATACGATAATGCATTCATGTTGACCTCTGACGTGACCCTCTATGGGATGTTGTTAGATCTTCAACGCGACATATCAGTAAACGGGAGCGATGTGAAGATATAATTTTAATTAGATTGAGTCTATAGACACAGTGTACAGACAAGGGCTATAGACACAGTGTACAGACAAAGTCTATAGACACAGTGTAAAGAAAACATATATAGACACAGTGTACAGACAAAGTTTATAGACACAGTGTACAGACAAAGTCTATAGACACTGTGTAAAGAAAACATATATAGACACAGTGACAGACACAGTGTATAGACACAGTGTACAGACAAAGTTTATAGACACAATGTACAGACAAAGTATATAGACACAGTGTACGGACAAAGTTTATAGACACAATGTAAAGACAAAGTCTATAGACACTGTGTAAAGAAAACATATATAGACACAGTGTACAGACACAGTGTATAGACACAGTGTATAAACACAGCTTAAAGACAAAGTCTATAGTCAAAGCATTTAGACACAGTGTAACAACAAAGTCTATAGACACAATGTACAGACAAAGTATATAGACACAATGTACAGACAAAGTATATAGGCACAGTGTACAGACAAAGTCTATAGACACAATGTACAGACAAAGTCTATAAACACAATGTACAGACAAAGTCTATAGACACAGTGTACAGACACAGTTTATAGACACAGTGTACAGACAAAGTCTATAGACACTGTGTAAAGAAAACATATATAGACACAGTGTACAGACACAGTGAACAGATAAAGTTTATAGACACAATGTACAGACAAAGCATATAGACACAGTGTACAGACAAAGTTTATAGACACAATGTACAGACAAAGTATATAGGCACAGTGTAAAGACAAGGCTATAGACACAATGTACAGACAACGTCTATAGACACAGTGTACAGACAAAGTCTATAGACACAGTGTAAAGACAAAATCTATAGACACTGTGTAGAGACAAAATATATAGACATAGGGTATAGACAGTGTATAGACAAAGTATATAGACACAGTGTACAGTCAAAGCATATAGACACAGTGTATAGACACAGTGTATAGACAAAGTCTATAGACACAGTGTATAGACAGTGTATAGACACAATGTATAGACTAGTATTGGATCTGCTGAGTACTGAAAAGTACTCCCTGTTTAGTTACAAACAATTACCTCAGGAGCCAGGCGACCAATAAAGTGCAAACGGTAAGTTGTCATTATCAATTGTTTTATTAATCAATTCAAAATTCGACAGTAAGTTATCTCGAATACTTCACATATACTACAAATGGCCATGGTCTAAATGGCTATAGTCGGGGAACTATGAACACTGTTGAAACGGTTTCCTGGATAAAACTTTTTTTTTCTGAAAATGAGGAGTGACGCAAGTAATACTTTGTTATTAGCTCGGCCGCCATATTGCCATCTCTTAATTAGTTATGTTTTGTGTTGGCAATACAAATATCCTTACATTTAGTGTTTAAGCTTTTTATTGTGTCTTCCGAAAAGGTGATTTAATGTTCGTAAGGCTTTCAGAAATCAATTTGGATATTTTTGTCCTTTTAATATATCATGGATTTTCATAACGACTGTCAATAATCGGTATTGCGTATTTCCCTTGTAATGATTTAACTACTACTAGCGGGTTCGAGACCTTCGTTGAGTAGTCGCCATGCCGTAGGTCGGGGTTTTTTCCCCGGACACTCCGGCTTTCCTTTATCTCGAAAACCTGGCACGCCTTAAATGACCATAAATTTTAATAGGACGTAAAACACAAACAAACCAAATAACTGCTACTATAAAAAAATGATATTTATGGTTAGTGTAAACAGTTCCGTAAACGGGTGTACTGCGGTATAATGTAGTGATATGTACCGCCTACTCTCGCTACGTAAGATCGCTATCTTTTGTATTTGGCTGTAACAGGTGAACGGAGGTAGGTTTGATCACGTAGATCCGACTTAAAGTCCCTTAGTTAGGTTTAACCGTATTGCACCATGTTTATCTGTGTTTATTGTATCTGACGTTTCAGTGTATTTTTGTGAAGACTGCTGTCATCTTTACAGGTATTAGTTTTACTGTTAGAGAAAAATGGATCGTGTCTCTCTGAAAATTAGCCAAATCAGTCTATCTGCCCTGTTAGTAATGGGTGGTGTAATTACTTTTGTCTTGACGATAATTGCTTTCAATTACTGACAAATAACATCGGAGTTAGTATTCGTTCTGTCGCAATTAACTCTTTGTATTATTTTTTTTCTTTATTTTTCAGACCAAATAACGAACAGATGGCACTTTCATTCTACTACAACAAAAAGCACAATGAATGTGTTCTGGAGGAGCTGGAGGTCGGAGACATGGTGGAGTTTCCGAATAACATTTATTCTCACTGGGGAGTCTATATAGGTACTTGAAACATATTATTCTGGTCCAATGATTGTCTATCCATGTCGAAAAAAAATATAATATAATATTAATTGCGGCGCTAGTTATGTGTTACGCTGAAGTGTAAATTGTCTAGGCCACAAAAAAATATGTTAATTGATGAGCCGGAAATTTAAAACACGAAACTTACGTTTTCATATATTTATCGCGGATAATTTAGAAATATTAGCTATACGATCTAAAGGAACGGCAAAACACCACCAGAAAGGTGTTGCCTGACATTCGTTACTCTCTCTACATATTTCATTTATATCGTACTACGTATTAGATAAGTTGCCTCGTAACTGGATAATCTAGATCACACTGTCTTTAAGGTAAACAATTATTTCATCTGACCTGGTTACATATCTCACAATAATATACGCTAATATGGTGATCATGCAGCATGTACACAATTAACGATTGACGATAGAAGGAAGTTATCAAATAACTGGGTATGCTACATTGATCGCACTATGGTGTGGAAGTGTGGCATTATGATTGGTAGGCTAGGCTTTGGTGGTCGGGTGCCTCAGTGGATAGCGCACTCGCCTTCCACCAAGGCGGCCGGGTTCGATTCCCAGATCGGACGTGAAAAACGCAAGAGGGAACAAGTGTGTTTTCTCAGGGTTCTCTGGTGCATTCCACTTCAAGACCCCCGGGCCATCCAGAGTAATAAGTATAAATTGATATATCGTGTGTCATAATTGTTGTTAAACAAACAAAATTTATATTTATTTACCATATGTCTTATGTCGATCTAAAAGAAATGTACACACTGTTCTGTTTTCGTTTTTGACCACCTTTTATTTTATCTAAGTAAACAATGTCTAGGTACGAGATGTATCGACTATTTCATGGAATCCTTAAAACAAAACAAAATAATTTGTATGTGTGTATGTCATCATCAACTTCTGTGTAGTTTTGTCTGCGTTGATAGGCGCATGATTGCATGATGTTGTCAGTTCATCCACCAACGTGTGCACATGCTTTTCTCTGGGGCATATAGCTAGTGATGTGGTGAAAATTAGGGAGTTTAACATTTTGAAATTATTCCAATTTATGATTCAGAAAAGTATTGCACAACAAATACATGTATAACTGGTAGCGACGTGGATAAGCCTCGTCCCTAACAATAAAGAGATGATGGAGTTTTCCTTTAAAATATTGTAAATCGAATAGCAGCCCAGCTCAGAAAACGAACAAAATGACGAAAAACAATAAAGCTCTTCGTTGTTATGAAAGTCATTACTCGCACAAGTATAAATATAGATAGTGTAAACCATTTCAGGTAATGAAAACATCGTCCATCTGACGGGGGATAAAGCGACCAATGCAGGCGCCAATGGATCTTTTGTCAGTGGGTCATTCTTCTCCGTTTCTGGCGTTCAGCTTGACAAAGCATGTGTTAAGGTTGAACATTTTTTGGAAGTTGCTGAAGGGTGTATGGCAAAACGGAACAACGACAAAGACAACACTCTGAGGTTTGTATGGTAATGAAATGCAAAATCAATATAAATCAAACATTACAACAACGTCAATCAATGAATCTTGATAAGGAATTTTCGAATTTGTTACGGACACACTCTTGCCTTGTTTATAAGACATATGAATTGTGTGTTTGATTAGTATTTTGCACACAAATTGTTGACGTACCATACAAGATATGAATGTTTTGAAAACCACAACTTTTACCTCAATGTTGCTTCAGCGTCTCCGAAATGTTTATGCTACATGATCTCTTATGTAGTCCCAATTCCAATATAGAAGTGTGCTTTCCAGTTTCGGCATACATATCAATTTAGATAATAATTGAAGGGAGTTTTGTGTACATTGGATATGTTCAACACAGCAGTAGGACATCTTGCTTAACAAACTATGTCGACCTTTTGTGTCTTTTATACTTTTTCAGTAGGTTCAGCTTATAGAGTAGATTATGTAGACGAAGTAGACGAAGTAGATAGTGTGACGTGCGGGCGGTCACCCATCCAACTACTGACCACGCTCGACGTTGCTGAACTAGTGAGCGAGTTCCCGGGTTATACTGCATTACTGGAAATACACCTTAGCTTACAAATTTCAGAATGTTTAAAATTATTCATCATCATTATATCTTTTTCATTCGAAAGTTTAAAAAATCGGATGTAAATAACTTTGTTTCACACCAGTTTCTGTCACCCATAGTACTTGCTGTTTAGTAAAGGATTTTGCAACGTACGTTGTTCGACACGCGTGATCTTTAATTGGTGTCTTTATCGCATCGGTGTACAGGTGTACCACTGATGGTCTACATTGTGTATATATATCCCTTTTTTTAACAGGGCTATTGGCATTCGTCCACGCCCTCGCGACGAAATCGTGAGGACAGCCTTGGCTTCGAGAGGTGAGGCAAAGTACAATGTTTTATGGAACAACTGCGAACATTTCGCCTCCTACCTTCGATACGGCGAAAAATGGTCCGACCAGGTAAAGTTGTAAAGGTTGTAAAGTTGTAATTGTAATGTTATGTTATAACCTCTTTCATCTTAACGCCGCTGTTGTAGATGAAAAAAGAAGATAAGTGAAGCGGCAAGGCAGAAGGAATTTAGCGTTTGAATAACCTTTGCATTTAAAGCAAATCCATATTAATTTACTGGAAGGGAAAAAGATACGGTTGAAGATCACCTGGGCCGAAAGGCCATTGAGATGTTGCAGACTGTTGCCATCTGTCGTCCATAAACCCACCTTGAAACAACTACTTTTCAAGAACCATAAGGCTGAACATTTTTCAGATTCATATTGAAAAAAAAAAAAATATATATATATATATATATATTTTGAACTCAAAGTCGACTAAAACTAGGGCAAACTATGAACAAATGAAAGATTTATATGAAAACACATTAAAAACAACGATAATAAGACCAGCGTTTCCGTAAGGGTAAGCGTCTTTCGCTTCATCGATGACATCGCCATGTAATTATAGGTCACTCCAAATAATGACACGTAATCATTTTGAGAAATCTGATAGTGACAACAAAACCACCAGACAAATTGATGAGCTTAATCAAAAGCATCGACCTTCGTATCACACAAAGAAATAACATATCTCTAAATACGATCATGATGGCGACCATTAAACATGTCCATAGTCTTTATCAGCTTACATCTTTGTAAGCCCAGTGTTGTAAGATTGTCCGTCGTAGCCAAGACATTATATAAGAACAGGTAGAAGATTTGTACAATTTTTGTTTTATTTTGTTTCAGGCCAACCTCGCTGTCGGTACGATTATAGTAGGAGGAGCTGTTGTCGTTGGGGGCTTACTCAGGTCTCTCTTTCTACATCTCTATTATTCTTTTCGGAAAAAAAATTGACAAATGCTCTTTCAGGTCACATTCGTCTCTTTTTTAACGCTTGCTCACCCTGAAACAGTTTACATGGATTTTTTAACTGACGTGTCATTAAATCGTCAATTCGGTTCATGGTATGCTTAACCTGTAATACTGTAACGGGATTATATTTGTATTTAGAAACGCTGCACTTATGGGGGAAATAGAGTCGTACTTTCATAGCATTTTTTAATGAAATGTAGGCGATATAAATGCAATACAATACAATATATATTCATAAACTATTGCACATAATTGTATACGGCGTTGCTGTGATTGTTATCAATCGTTTATCTACCTATTATTCATTTATTAAAGTTGAGTCTTTTTCAAATCAAATTAAAATGTCCATGGACAGTTCCTTTTTCACTGTTGTATTTTAACTAAAATAGAGGGAAATTCAAAGAACCCTGAAAGCATCCTCGAAAGTCCAGGGGTAACGCTCTGTTACGTATTTTTTACACTACTGGAATATGCCATGAAGGTGATGGAACAGACTCTGATATAAACAGGAAATAAATCGCGCAGTTGTGTAACGGTCAAATTGGCCGCTCTTTTTTTCATTAGAGGACAGGTATCGGCCTAACGATTAGTCGTTTTTAGCGCACCTGCCCAAATGGCAAGTTAGCTTATGCCATGGTGCGGCGTCCGTCGTCCGTCCGCCCGTCGTCCGGCGTCAGTATTTTACTTTAAACAACTTCTTCTCAATAACCAAAAGGCCCAGGGTAGGGTTATTGGGCCTGTAGCATGCTTGGATGAAGGGCTACCAAGTCTGTTCAAATGAATGACCTTGATCAACTTTCAAGGTCACAGGCGTCAAATGTCTTAAAATCTTCAAACAACTTCTTCTTAATAACCAAAAGGCCAAGTGTATTAATATTTAGCCTGTAGCATGCTGTGAAGAAGGGCTACCAAGTTTGCTCAAATGAATGATATTGACCAAGTTTCAATGTCACAGGGGTCAAATATGTTAAAATATTCAAACGACTTCCTCTCAATAACCAAAAGGCCCAGGGTACGGATATTTGGCCTGTAGCATGCTTGGATGAAGGGATACCAAGTTTGTTCAAATGAATGACCTTGACCCAATTTCAAGGTCACAGGGGTCAAATGTCTTAAAATCTTCAAATAACTTCTTCTCAATAACCGAAATACCCAGGGTACTGATATTGGGCCTGTAGCATGCTGTGATGAAGGGCTACGAAGTTTGTTCAAATGAATGACCTTCATCTTTTTTCAATGTCACAGGGGTCAAATGTCTTAAAATCTTCAAACAACTTCTTCTCAATAACCGAAATACCCAGGGTACTGATATTGGGCCTGTAGCATGCTGTGGTGAAGGGCTACCAAGTTTGTTCAAAAGAGTGACCTTGACTAACTTTCAAGGTCACAGGAGGCAAATGCCTTAACATATTCAAACAACTTCTTCTCAATAACCAAAAGGCCCAGGGTACTGATATTTGGCCTGTAGCATTCTGTGATGAAGGGCTACGAAGTTTGTTCAAATGAATGACCTTCATCTTTTTTCAATGTCACAGGGGTCAAATGTCTTAAAATCTTCAACCAACTTCTTCTCAATAACCGAAATACCAAGGGTACTGATATTGGGCCTGTAGCATGCTGTGGTGAAGGGCTACCAAGTTTGTTCAAAAGAGTGACCTTGACTAACTTTCAAGGTCACAGGAGTCAAATGCCTTAACATATTCAAACAACTTCTTCTCAATAACCAAAAGGCCCAGGGTACTGATATTTGGCCTGTAGCATTCTGGGATGAAGTGCTACCAAATTCGTTCAAATGAATGACCTTCATCTTTTTTCAAGGTCACAGGGGTCATATATGTTTTAAACCTTTAAACAACTACTTCTGAATAACCAAGAGGCCTAGGATAATGCCAGTAACATGCTGGAACGAAGGACTAACAATTTTGTTCAAATGAATGACCTTGACATATATTCAAGGTCACAGTGGTCAATATATGTTTAAATCTTTAAATGATTTGTTCTGTATAACCAAAAGGTCCAGGGTAATTATATTTAGCCAGGAGCATGCTTGGTTGGAAGACTATTAACTCTGTTCAACCTAATGTCATTGTTTGACATTCAAGGTCACGGGCCTCAAGTCAAATGTCGTAAAATATTCAAACGACTTCTTCTAAAATTGGGCCTGTAGCATGCTGGGATAAAAGGCTACCACGTTTGTTCAAATGAATGACCTTGACATATATTCAAGGTCACATGGGTCAAATATGTTTTAAACATTTAAACAACTACTTCTGAATAACCAAGAGGCCTAGGATAATGCCAGTATCATGCTGGGATGAAGGACTATCAAGTTTGTTCAAATGAATGACCTTGACATATATTCAAGGTCACATGGGTCAAATATGTTTTAAACATTTAAACAACTACTTCTGAATAACCAAGACGCCTTGGATAATGCCAGTACCATGCTGGTTTGAAGGACTATCAAGTTTGTTCAAATATATGACCTTGACATATATTCAAGGTCACATGGGTCAAATATGTTAAAAACATTGAAACAACTTCTTTTTCTTAATAAGCAAAAGGCTAAGGGTGATGATATGATTTTCGGCCATTAACATCCTTGGATGAAGGACTACCAAGTGAATGACCTTCGCCCATACTCAAAGTCACAGTGGTCAATATATGTTTAAATCTTTAAATGATTTGTTCTGTATAACCAAAAGGTCCAGGGTAATGATATTTAGCCAGAAGCATGCTTGGTTGGAAGACTATAAACTCTGTTCAACCTAATGTCCTTGTTTAACATTCAAGGTCACAGGCGTCATATGTTGAAATTTTTTAATAGATTCTTATGAATCAAACACTGATATTTTGCCTGTAGCTGTATTTTAGTCCAATTTTAAGATTACAAGTGTGAGATTAATACAAGGTGAGCGATGCAGGCCCATTGGGCCTCTTGTTGTTTATTATTTTATGAATTTTTAACACATCAGGTGAAAACTATTATGCAGTGATGAAGATCTGGTCAAAACAACTGACTTAAAAACCTATAAAACTCTATTGCCAACAAATTAAATTCGGAGCGCACTCCTCCAACCCTGGAAATATACAGATACGGTGGCATTACACCCTTTGTTACGTTACGAGAAACAAAACGATAACGTCACAAATTCTCAGCTATGACATAACTGGCTTTGTTTTCTTCTAGGATTTTTTCTGATCTGAATACTCACAAAAAGGCAAAAATTGAGCATGTTTTGGTTAGTTCAATGTTTAAGGAATCACAAATCTACTCCAATAACATCCATTTTTATAACATTCGGTAAAGCTGCTCTATCACTAATCCATCAGCTTAAAGATGTCTGCTCACCGGCAAATGTGGAGATGTAAGAAGTCTGAAGAAATGAAGACATTCCAGTTTTGTATAAGTAAAACATCACATATTTTACAACAAGTATGGAACAAGTCAGTGTTAATTTACATAAATCACTCTTTAAAAAAGAAGCGTTTAAGAGGTCTTGCTATATATGGGAGAAAAGGGGAGTACCCGAAGCAAACCCCCATTACACGCAAGAGTCAGTACCACTTTCAAATACAAAGACTGTGACCCAGGCTGTCGATAAAGAGTAGTACCCAGTTAAACTGAGTTGTAGCTATTCTTACTAATCATGACATATTTCACTCAATTACTCAAACTACTGTTTACATAAATTACAGCATAATCTGCATTTTAAAGAAATTTTCGAAATACAAATAATAAAAAAAATGAAAAAAGCACAAATAACAAATTTTGCAATTGATGATGTTAACATATATACATTTTGTATTTACCGATTGGGTAATTTTGAATCTGAAGCGCCAAAATAATGCACAGTGCTGGCCTTTTTTGACATCCTTACCCCGGTATATCTAAAACGATAAAATCGAGTTTTAAAGCATTATTCAAAATGTTTGGTTTTTATGCCATACCGCAGCGTCCATCGTCCGTCCGTCACCTTTTTCTTTAAAACGCTACTAGTCCTGGACGACCAAGTAGATTTAGACTAAATTTGGTCTGGAGCATGCTTAGGTCAAGGGGACTTAATTTTGAATAAACGGTGGGTGTGGCCACCCTGGGGGCTGAGGGGCGGGGCCAAATAGGGGAAATATAGCAATTTCTTTAAAATCCTTCTTCTTCTGTAGGAATGAAAGGATTTGTTCCATATTTGGTCAGAAACATCCTTGGGGAAAGGGGAACAAATTTTGTATAAACCGTGGGTCTGGCCCCAAGGTGACTAAGGGTCGGGGCCAAATAGGGGAAACATGGAAAATTCTTTAAAATCCTTCTTATTCTGTTAGAATAAAAGGATTTGTTCCATATTTGGTCTGAAGCATCCTTGGGGGAAAGGGGATCAATTTTGTATAAACGGTGGGTCTGGCTGCCCTGGGGGCTTAGGGGCGGGGCCCAATAGGGGAAATATAGCAAATTCTTTAAAACCCTTTCTTCTTCTTTAGGAATGAAAGTATTTGTTCCATATTTGTTATGAAGCATCCTTTGGTGAAGAGGAACCAATTTTGTATAAACGGTGTGTTTAACCCCCCTGGAGGCAGAGAGGCGGGGCTCAATAGGTGGAAATAGAGGTAAACCTTTAAAATCCTTCTTCTACCATAGGGATGAAGGGAGTTCTTCCCAATTTGGTCTGGCGGATCTTGGGCAAAAGGGACTCAATTTTGTATAAACAGTGAGTGTAGTCCCCCTGGGGGAAGAATGGCGGGGCCCAATAGGGGAAACATAGCAAATGTTCAAATAACTTCTTCTTCTGTACAAATGACAGGATTTTGTCCAGATTTGGTATGAAGCATTCTTGGGTGAAGGGGAACCAATTTTGTATAAACGGTGTGTCTGACCCCCCTGGAGGCAGAGAGGCGGGGCCCAATAGGGGAAGTAGAGGTAAAACCTTTAAAATTCTTCTCCTACCATAGTGATTAAGAGATTTTATCCTTATTTAGTCTGGAGCATCCTTGGGTCAAGGACACTCAATTTTGTATAAGCAGTGGGTGTGGTCTCCAATTAGGGGACAGAAGGGCGGGCCCAATAGGGGAAATAGAGGTAAACCTTTAAAATCCTTCTTCTACTATAGGGATGAAGGGATTTCTTCCCAATTTGGTCTGGAGGATCTTGGGCAAAAGGGACTCAATTTTGTATAAACAGTGAATGTAGCCCCCCTGGGGCAGAATGGCGAGGCCCATAGCAAATGCTCAAATACCTTCTTCTGTACAAATGACAGGATTTTGTCCAAATTTGGTATGAAGCATTCTTGGTTGAAGGGGAACCAATTTTGTATAAACGGTGTGTGTGACCCCCCTGGAGGCAGAGAGACGGGGCCCAATAGGGGAAATAGAGGTAAAATCTTTAAAATCCTTCTTCGACCACCAGGATTAAGGGATTTTATCCTTATTTAGTCTGGAGCATCCTTGGGCCAAGGGTAATCAATTTTGTAATTTCATATGTACTTACAGCACCTACCATGGAGTGCTATATCTTTACTTCATACCAATTATTTTCAACATATTCAGGGAAGCGATACAGGCCCTTGGGCCTGTTGTAATTTTTAGGCCTTACAAACGCGTATAAACCTTTCAAAGGTTTTCAAGAAACGAATAAACTAAAGGCTTATACAGAATTTAATTCCTTAATTTTATAAACTGTCCACTGCGAATCATACATTTGATAATAACGTACCATAAAATAATGATTCATGATAAACAATTCGGCAAAATAAGCACAGGTTGATCTGGTGTTGTGATGCTGTAGGGTTACCCCCTCACTACTCTATTACAACATCCATACAAGGTAATATATAAAGTCGATTCTTCAAATCTCCTTGAATGTGTTGTTGCTTAATTTACCGCTTAATTATGCAAAACAGTCGCTTCCTAAAAGGGTGTGTTTATGGCCGGATTGCAACGCAATCAGGGCGTATAGATTGGCGATTCCCGTCCGTCCGTCCGTCTGTCTGCACTAAGGTTAAGAAGAATGGTTGAGCTCAAGTGATTAATTATCCCACATCAACTAAACTTACATGGCTTATGTATCTAACGATGCTAATCACATGCGGTGCTTCCGATGCTGCTTCTGATCTGCATTTTCTACTTGACTGACCAGGTTAAAAAGATTGGTTGGGGTCGGGCCAATCTGCATTATGATTAAGAAGATTGGTTTAGATCACTTACCATGTAACTACTCGTCCTACATCAACTTAACTTGCAAGGCTTATGTATCTTAGGATGCTAATCACATGAGATGCTTCGGATGCTGCCTCTGACCTATATTTTTCGCTTGACTGACCACGTTTAAAAGTTTGGTTGACGTCGGGCCCCATCTACACTATGATATAGAAGATTGGTATAGGTCACTTACCAAGTAAATACTTATCCTACATCAACTAAACTTGCATGGATTATGTATCTAAAAGGATGTTTATCACATCAGATGCTTTACATGAAAATGTACTGTAGCAATCCGGCCATAACGCCATTGGCGGTTTCTTGTTTTATCGTCTCTTGTGATGTTTTAAATACATGTTGCGTACATTTCTTTGTTTGTTGTTTACATTGCAATATATTCTGTGGTAGTTTTATTGTGTTAAGGGGCCATTTCAATGTATTTAATTATCATGACATCAAAAACAAGGTATTTTCACGGTATAAGATTGTCATTGTATTATATAAGTATCATTTTCGAACACATCATTTACATGTGTTTTTTCTTCTGTACAGGTGATTTTCCTGTGTACCTATTTTTTTATTTTTTTATTTTTAATAAATACAACTCCAACAACCTAGGTTGAATATAAAATGGCCTGGGGTGGATATTGCGGTATCTGTGCTAGCATTCAAGTGAGGTGGCACTATAAATGATACCGTTGGAGCACGGTTCCACTACAAACAGAACACAATTCATCTCAAGCACACACGCAAGCATACACACATAGGGAGATATTAGCCAAGTGGCATATAACTATTAGTAAGCGAATGATAAGGCAGCTCCTGCGAATTCCTCAAAATTGTATTTATTAATATATATGCCAGTTGTATTAATTGAATATCTTTGTACTGTAAATCGCTTAAGCGTGGCTAATTCTAGCTAAATAGGTCGCTATATCAAATGTAGTATATAATTATTATTATGTAAAATCAGAGGTCTCTTTTAGAGTGGCCAAAACCATGAGGAAGGGGGTTGTTACGGAGTTAGAAAAATAATTTCCCAATAAATCCATGTAAATGTACGGGAAGTTAAATAAAGAGAAATTCCACTTTCGGATTCAATACGTTTAATAATTGTGGTAGCATGTTTGGCGTTCACTGTGTTTCTAGCTTGTGTTTCACGTCTGTACCACGAAATTTAAAAAGTAATTACTGACTTGTACAAATAAGCAAAAGTTTGAAAGTCACAAGTCTTACAAAACAATCTTCAAACATATTTATAATCATAAATATTTCATTTATGTTGTTTGTCTCTGTTCCTCTTCATGCTGAGAAACAAAGCGCCCGCCATTACTCCGCCTAGGAAACCACCTACAGCTAAAGCAGCGCCTCCTATCACCACTGCTGCGATAGTTCCCTGAAAGTAAAACATAATCTAACGATATTAACCACAGCGTCAACATAGAAGTACGTATTATGCTACAGTGTTATATGCAAGTACATAATATAGCATTGCACCAATGTGTGTAAATAAATTATTCTAACATGTCGATATCAATAAAAGAACTCATTGTAACATGTCGCACAGAAACAGAACATTTGAGAGAGAAAAAAACAGAAATATATACAAAAAAATATCTTATTTTTGGTGTCTGCTACCATGAACCTTCTTTCTAGTTCTATTGGTGAAAATAACATATATACAAGGACGACGTTTCACAAACTCATAGCCGTAGTAAAAAATCGAAATGAAAATATGTCAAAATCAAGACAGACATCAGAACAAATCAAGGATAATATGAATCATTACGAAGAAAGGGGCTGGAACCGTTAACTCCTGAATGGTAGGCTTATAGCATCAATCATAATGTCTTAATTCAAATCAAAAACTATAGTTGAAAACAAATATTAGCGAACATCCCCAAACAGCTGTTTTATTTTTTCAAGCAAAACATCGAATGGTGTTGAGGTCAAAACACTTACATCTTTAAAACAAATTACCCAGCAAATTAGTATCAAGTCGATTTCTGCATTTGAATAAAGCGTGGAATTGTATAATTTAACGTCAGCCGTCTTAATAGTAACGAAACTATTCTAAAGTCAAAAGTCAGCCGTCAAAAAAAGGATCGAATGTTTTCTTTTCCTATTTCACTCTAATAATTCAGGCGATGTGCAATATGTTTGCCTATTCAGCAGTTAGTTATAAAATGCAATTGAATCTATTTGAGAGATCATCTCGGATAAGCAATCCTCTTATTCCGAACGATTCCTAAGATGTATGAAGCTCCCCACCGATACAAGACACAATATTTACCATTGTATGACATTGCCATTATATAACCTTACCGAATTCTTATTGCATTTATATCGGGTATGAATGTCATGGCCATGAATAAATTTCATTATTGGCGAAACCATTCTTATAACGTCATAATTGTTACGTTGGATACCGCTGCGCCTTCCTGGAAGTCCGTTCAGAAACGGCTAAATCAAAGTATTCAACTGCATTTATATTGCCCATGAATGCAAACTGAAAGCATGTCAATGCTTCATTCAGTAAATAAGTCTAAAGTCATATTGAACATTGAAAACATCTTAAAACTAGATCACGATGATTACACTAGATTTTGTTCAACGTTGAAAGAAGGACAATAATGCACTTTTAAATAATAATTCACAATAGACATTTTTAACTATATATGCAGAAGATTGTAAAATCTCGGAAAAAAATTTGTCAGCATGTGTTCAGCTACACTTCACCTGGTTAGAGGATCCCTCGCCGTATCTCAGATAGGAAGCAAAGTGTTCACAGTTGTTCCATAACACATTGAAATCTGCCTTCCCGACCATAGCATTTGCTTCCTTCACAATTTCAGAAGAAGGTCTAGGACGTCTGCAGATAAAACATAACGTTATAGCATTGTACCTGTAAACTAAAAGCCTAACATTCATATCGTGTATTCTCGTTATATACCTGGTTAAAATGTAAATCAAATTTACAATGCTATCGATAGTAAACGAACTGAACAACTATTAACCTTATGCACATTTACAAATTTTGATTAATTGGTCTTTTTTCTTTTCTCTTAGAATAGTGTCGGATGAAAATAATTGATATAAAGTTAATACATTAAATTTATCTCCGGCACAATCATGAATGTTTGTTAACATATAGATTTCGTAAAGTAAAGTACAGTGTTCCGAGTTCCTGGCACGTCTTTAAATGACCACAGCTGTTAATAAGACGTAAAACACAAACAAATCAAACGAAAAGTTCGGAGTTCATTGCCGGTTTGAATCATGTAGAAATCACCACATTTAGAACAAACTATTGCATAAATTACGTTTTTTGATTTACAATTCATAATAACCTTCACAGTAAATTTCAAACCATTCTGGAAAATACAAGTTTTACATTCGATAATCATCTTGGTTCTTACACTTGGGACACTTCTGGTGTTACACAAGAATTATCAAACTTAGAGCATGTCAAAATGCGTTTCACGTTCATAGGTTGGCGTCTGCTATGTAAAATAGCATGTTTATTAAAAATGTTTCTAATACGCCTGCTACTTTGCTTCAACTCTTCACATTTGTTTTTTTTTATCACAGGAAACATATTGAAATCCCGTGGATTGAAAGTAGAAACAAAAGGAACTAACTTTGAATCATCTTTTTGTTTTTGTGAACGAGCTGTAAAGAGTCCCCTTTCAATAACTTTCTCTATACCATGTTCTATTATCTCAGTAGGATAACATTGAGCTTTAAGGCATTGCTTTAGTTGACGAAGTCTAGCAATTTGAACTCGTTGCTCACTGACGATATACATGTAGTGATAATGCTTGAAGCAAGATTAAAAGGAATATTAACCTTAGTGTGTACTGTGGTTAGAGTAAATATTTAGATAAGTATGTGCATATGTAGCCTTAAATACAGATCAATTGTAATCCGATTTAAACCTAGTTGAACTAAAACATTTAAGAACGTTAAAGACGTCTCACTACACCCCATCGTATAACAAATTGAAGGATGCAAGATATTCAACAGGTTATGAAATTCATTTAAATCCTTATCAGGAGGCCATATAACAAACAATCGTCAAAATAAATTCAGTAAACTTTTCCCCCAAACTTTGTTTCAATCTGAGAATAAAGTGTTTCCTCGAAGTATCCTAAAACTAAGGTTGCATATGTAGGGGCAACTTTAGTACCCATCGCTGTACCCTTAATCTGTTGAACATATCCTTGGTCAAAATAAAAAGTATTACGATTGAGGACAATGTCTAGAGCTTGAAGTATAAATTCACTACTAAAGCGAGAATAAACTTTTTCTCGTTTTTTTTTGTAATCAATATTTGACAGTTTCCATACCAAGAGTATGTGGTGCACGTATATTAGTGTATAAACTAACAACATCAAAGGAAACAAGTTTAGAATTATGTGTGACCTGTTTAGATAAACGGCCCAGAAAATCAAAATCGTCTTTGATATACTCACTGTTTACACTTGTGCATAAAGGTTTAAGAATGAGGTATACAAGATGACTTAAACGTTGAGTTGCACTATTAGGGCCGCCTTCTATGGGTCTAAACTTCAAATCCATAGGATAGCCAAATTCAATATATGTACAAATATATTATAATTACTTATTATGGTCTTGAGTGTTGTTGATTTTCGCCTTACAACCATCAGCAACATTCCTGAAATGCTCAATCTTCACAAAAGCCTGTTCACCAAATCCAATACTGGAAACTTGGAATAACCCTCCGACGCCGGTTCCCGTAATGTGAACAATTTGTCCATCACCTGAAATGTATAGGGACGGTATGTTGATACCGAATCGAAAAATCAATTTTCAAATCAAACGTCGCTTTGTGGATTGTATTATGTCTTTATGTGAGAAAGGGGTTCACATAAGGCGATAGTGTATTGTTTCTATTATGTGAAAGAAAGTGTAAATATCTCGCTGATATTATGGTTAGGTTACCACATGACTATTTCCATATATTACGCCATATTAACAAAACAACCTCTGCATCAGCCCTAGGAGCCAGGTGCCTGAGTGCTGATATGGGCCGAGGACTAATATGAGGTAAAATGGAATGTATGGAAATGGTCATATTATAAATTAATTGTCATAATATATACTTCATATTGAAAATACTTATCACAATGTAAACTCAGAATTACTAGAAGTAACACAAATGGGTTGTAGGCGTGATATTTTACATGCTTTTAACCGATATGGCGCGTGCTTGCCAAATATGGCATAGTAGACCTTTAATTTTCTCAGACATATATATTTGCAACTACAGAAGAAATACAACTGCAAACCAAAGAGACAGATATATAATAATTGGATACTTTGATCAAGTCATGATGACCATTATTATCGGAACAAATTGATGCTGAATAGCATATATTTACAACACTACCAAGGCAAGTTCCGTGTTATAAGATCATAACACGTGCGAAGTGATATCTCAACGGGTCCGACTCACTACCGGATCTCTATTCCCCTCTGCACTAGCAAGCAGATAGGCACAAAAACCCACTACGGTTCATTGATATTCACCATTTCATGTAAGACTATTATAAAATGTGAATTGAAAATATTGATTGATTGAATTATGGAAAATAGTATCGATATTTTTGCGTTTATTTCCAAGAACCTTTTTTACGGGAAAGATCACGAGACAACATTCCGTGAGCAATTCTAGGGCCGGTTCTACCTCTTGAACAACCACCGCGAAATTCGAATTTGAAAGTGTTTTTTGAGAACATAGAAATGAAATTGAAAAATGTAAAAATAACCATCAAACAGCATTCTGTTCCGTATTATGGTCCTATAACACGGAACAGAACGCAGTGTATTGCTCAAATACATGTACGTTATTGGTAATGATTCTAGTGTTGACATCAACGAACCTATTTTCTAAAATCAGTAACATCAAATTATGCAAATGATTTGCAGTATTTTCTTTTGCGACATTCATGGTTTGCTTGTTAAAACTAAGATACTAGAATTTAACCAAATCACTTTTTCCCGTTTTACTTTTCTCGTCATTATGTTCAGTGATTCAATGATCTTTAGTTCGTGTTTTGCTAAATGTAAATCCTAATTTATTAATGACTAAACGTATTTGAATTTTCAGTTTCGTTTTTTTGTATTTCCGGCTAATCAGGTGACCTATCTTAGTTATGACCTAGATGATAACATGGTTGTATATTTGGTGTAACACGATGACTTCGTTTTAACATATTGTCTTTATGAAGTCATATTAATTGTGTACATGTAGTATTACAATTTCGATCATTTACTATATACGTTCTTATATATTTGGGCACTGAAAATTTCCCAGCACCGAAAATGATTTCCAACTCGTACACATAGTGACTTAGTGCTATGTTCAACTTTCTTGTTTAACTATTGAAAAACCTCTCAATTAAATATTATAAATGATTTACTATGTGCGTGTACGTAGCTTATTTTTCCCTTTATTCATTTTTTTTCATTTTAAATCAAACATTATAATATGCATTAATTTGAAATCGAAAGTAAAACTTCACGCTTTAAATCTCTAGTAAGTCCATGTAAAAACCCATTATAGAGATCAAAAATACGAATCTATGCTTAAAATGTTCCTAATCATAATATTGGAATATAAACAAAAGGGGGATATTACTTTCAAGTATAGCACGACTATAGTTTACCTAAGTAGACTCCCCAATGAGAATACAACTCATTTCGCGGAAATTCCACCATATCTCCGACATTTAGCTCCCGGAGAACATGGGCATTGTGCGCAGACGTTTCAAGATGAGAGAATGAAAGAGCCATGTGTTGTTAAGGGGCTGTCACTGGCTGAAAGAAAGCGGTCAAAAGAATGAATTACCTTATACATCATAACCAAAATCATTTATCACGGACAGCAATATGATTCAAATAATGAAAAATTGAATATTGTTTTTTTATCAAAGTTACATTTTGTTTTAGTTACAATTTTTTTTTTTTTACAAAAATTACCTGTAAACCAAATACTTCTTTTCCAGATATACACACAAACTTCTGGACCAGGTCCACCCGCTGCCAGTACTGCACTACTCAAACACTAGTCAGATATAACAAGCAGAGATAACCTGTGAAGTCAGAAGACATACAGACATGATAATGTACCCTAGTTTAACTGTAAATCACTGACAGTTGATGTCACATGACGCAATAGGACTGAAATGCTTGACACATATATTGTTTATAGAAATATACAGCATTTGATATAGCGCCCTATCTAGCTAACAAACGCCACTCTAAAGCGCTTTACAGTACATAGATATATAATTAATTCAATTGGCATATACATTAATCAGTACAATTTTTAAGGAATTCGCAGGAGCTGCCTTCTCAGGCGCTAACTACTAGTCCTATGCCACCTGGCTAATATCTCCCTATGTGTGGGTGCCTGCGTGTGTGCTGGAGATGTATTGTGCTGAGAAGCACTGAGTTGCTGTATACGACACATCTTGGTCTTTGATGTGGGCATCATCAGACTGATATAATGTGTAATTACTGGCAAATGTAATGCAAAACAACATAATATAATGATATAACTGATCAAAGTTTGTGCATGTACTTTGGCGGCTATTTGAAAGCATATAAGACAACGCATTTTTTAAATATCCATTTTTACTTGCGCGTGCAAACATTTGTCACGTGACACTATTATTTTCATTTTACCCACAACCCTCAATTCTATGTGAGAATAATTTGGTGGTATATACTCTATTTGGTATCTATATGAGCATAAATGAATTGATCCTAAATATTTTCAGTGTCGAACCGTCACCCCATAGTTATTATGTCGACCAAGTTTGAATAATTTCCATCTGAAAAATAGGACTATTTGGGTCTCTTTTAGCCCCGCTCTTTAGACTACCAGCGTCGAGAATCATCTAATTTACCATTTTGACGACGGAAAACAGATGAACGCAATGCACACACACACACACACACACACACACACACACACACACCAACACACATGTGAACGTGCGACTGCAATGTTACATGAGACTTTGTCTCGACTTTATTAACTCTATAGAGATAGCTTTTAAGATAATGTAGGTCAATGCGTTCACATTCTGCATCTGTATTTAAACTGTAATGTCAAGTGTATATCCTAACCTGAAGCACTGCTTCATTATGGCCAGCGGGAAGGTGTTTTATCTTATCGGCCGTCCAAAGTACTGCTACATTATCGCTACTTGGTATACAATACCGAGATTTAATATACATCAACAGTTTCAAAGAATCTTAAAATGAAACTGAAAATACTTACATGTTGGTGACGTCATAAACTGCATCAATTACTGTATCTTCATTCTAATGTGGTGTTTCTGGTCCGCTAAATGTGACATGAAACAATAAAATATTCAGTTATAAGTCTCATGTAAAGTCATAAAATAGAAGACAAACACAATAAATTATATTATTACCCCTTTGAGAAAAATCTAGGAATCTGATTGGTTAAAAACTACCGTGTACCAAACCGCATTCGTAAATCTCAGGGGTATACGAAAATATCAGGGGGTATACGGTCATGTCACGTGATTCTCAGCAGTAATACGGTGGAATCACGTGATTTTACAAGGGGTATACGGGTCACGTGTCTTTGTATCTTGCGGCGGGGCTACGGGAGACAACTCGCATTCGTCATCTGCTTCGCTGTTTACAAAATGGCAAAACGTTTCGCTTCGCATACTAATGAGGAAATACTCGCCAAAAGGGCTAACTATGTGCCACAAAACACACAAAAGTCGAACAGACGAGCGGCAAACATGCTAACGAAACTAAATGAGGTACCGTGCCATTTTTATCTTGACAACAGAAAAGATGACGGGGAACTGTACAAAACCAATATAAAAGACTCAAAAGGGTAATAAATTCGTTACACGGATTTTTTGCGGGGTATACGGGATGGTATGACCCTACAAGATTTCGTATTTCTTTCGGCCTATCGGCCTCAGGAAATACGAACCCCTTTCGGGTCATACCATCCCGTATACCCTGCCAAAAATCCGTTTAACTAATAATATCACTATATCGATTTTAAATACCAAGAGATTAACTTTGTACGGCAAACGATGGCTAAGGCTTCAAACACATAACAGCTATCATTAAGATGAAAACAGCGCACAGGAAATTTCACCGATGAAAACTTGATAGATGTTATGTGGAATGTCAATAGAGATTCAAAACTTTAAAAAGTTTCTGTTTTGTCCGATTCCAAGAAGATATGTGATAAAACCGACAGCAAATAGCATGTTTGTTATTTCCCGTTTTAATTATGTATATAAAGGGCCTGTCACACACTACCGGTGTACCTCGCCTGGACTAAACTGGAGCAAAAAATTAACGGCGAGAAAATCGGCAAAGCTCCGGCGAGAATAAAGCACTTGACAATTGACCGTCGTCCTACCGATGTAAGTTTTTCTGTCACCTCAGTATACGGTAGTGATACGGTTAGCCCGAGTTTCCTCTGGCCCTGACACCAGACTTAAGACAGTTTGACAGATAGATGTCTGGTGTACCTAAGTTTGGTGTCAGGGCCAGAGGAAACTCGGGCTATAATACGGAATCACATCGCTAATCTGAACGGTAGTGCATCAGTACTACTTCGGTGGTATTCGGTAGTACAACGGTATCACATTGAGGCCACCGGCGAGCCGCTGATCCATGAGATGACACGTATGCTATCCGAAAGGTTTCTTTACAACAAATATACTTCTTACCACCAATTTAAGAGAGTGACGATACTGTATTAACGAGAGGCGTGAATCTCTGTAAGGAAACACGCTCACAACTGAACCATGGATTGGATCATTTCCATAACATTGATCATCAATTAGCGTCTACTTATTTCAAGATTTAAGATGTTTATTTCACTCAGACACACATAAATGTGTGTAACAAGAGGTCATGTATATATAACATAGTTGAGTGCATGACAGGCAAAAGTTCTATATCATAGCATAGTACATAATTACATAAATACGTCTAGTTACATACAATTGATTCAGTGTTCAACGTATATAAAATGTCACTAGCAAACGGAAGACAATTTTTTTAGAATAGAGACACTAAAGTACTTTTGTTAATTTTTGAAAAAAATAAGCTTATACTTTTTAACAATTTCATATTAAAAATTGTGAACATTCCTTTCATTTTATGTTGGTTTGGACTTGTATAAAAATAGGCCGGGATATGTTTTCCCCTTATTTTGACTAAAGTATCGTTATTACAAATATATAAGTAATGAAACTCGTCCCCAATACCAATATTACAGAGCGGGCATATTCTGTCCTGTTTATGATTTCCCACCCACATCCTTCTGTTTCTACTGGAAGCTTAATATTTGCCTATCTTATGCGTTTAATCGTATCAAATAGTCTTCTAAACCAAAGCGATGTTTAAATGTAGAGTACAATCGTCCTCTGGATGAGGTATCAATTTTATTAAACCAAGATTGAATAAACTGATCGTGTAATTTATGGATAATTGCAGCTTTTAAATAAGCAATATCGGGCAGACAGGTCTTTTGATGGATCCAAACATAGCTTAGGCCTACGCTTTCCAGGATATGTTTAACATAGTTCACAACCATTTAAACTCGATTTGTCCAATTTCATGTAATGAGTACATCAATTTGTACATACGACTAGACAACTTATTTTCACTTGAGGTAAGTGTTTACCAAAATTTAATCATTCTTAATTTCACATCAACTTCAATGGGGGGNCATAAAATTACAAGTATTTCTACTTTGACCAAGAATTCGTTTACAGAATAAGAGGTGTATTTTTTCAAGTATACTAACATCCTCATAGCCCCATATTTCTGATGAGTAAAGCAAAATAGGAGCAACTAGCGAGTCAAACATACGGCATATAGCGCTTTTTTGGGCCTGTTCAGCTAATTGCTTTTTTGCCACTACAAACCCCTATCATAGTACAATAGAACACCTAAGTATGGAAGAGAATCTTGAATGTCTAGCTCATTATCATATAATAAAAATCGATTTCTGTTAGTATTCTGTCGTTTAGAAAAGATAACAACTTTTGTCTTCTGTGTGTTTACCATTAGTTTCCAATTCTCACAATAATCCTGAAATGTATTTAGCATTGATTGTTTAGACCATCTGCTGTCTCCGACATTAGCACTGTATCGTCAGCATATAAAATAACAAAAAGTTTTACGTACATACCAATATGACCATGACAAAGTTCATCAATCTTTAGTAAACAACAGACATTTTTTTCTAATAAATAGTCTTCTAAATCATTTAAAAATAATGCAAATAGAAAATTAAGGCGAGCAATTTTCCCCTTGTTTTCGTCCGACATTAGAAGTGAACATTTCTGACAATTCATTCCCATTTCTCACACAAGATTTCGTATCAGAATACCTGTTAATTAAAACTATAAATATTTTACCAGCTATGTTACATTTGAGTAGTTTTTGCCACAAGCCTATTCGCCAAATCGAATCGAAGGCTTTTCTAAAGTCAACGAATGCACAGTATAGTTTTCTACCGGAGGATAAATATAACGTTGTCAAAACGTGTAAAATAAAAATATTGTCTATTGTAGAGTGACCTTTTCTGAAACCTTCTTGTGCATTACTTTATGAGTTCAATTTCATCAGATAGTTTGTATAATCTTGCATTTAANGGCATTTAAAATCGACGTAAAAACTTTTCCAAAGCACGAGACCAACGTAATAGCCCTGTAATTATCCAACTTGTTGCGATCACCTTTGTTCTTATAGATTGGATTTATTATTCCTGTACTCCAACTTTCCGGTATTATACCAGTGTCCAATATTATATAAACATATCAACATATAAATGTAACATGGTGTCAACCGTACTCTTTATGTACTCATTAACTATATATTCAAATGTTGTATAGCATGAACAACCTCGTCAGTAGTAATAATTACTACTATTACTACTGATGAGATTGTAAATACCGGATTTTATCACATACCTGTTGAATCTTGGTATAGTAATACAAGCAATTTTCAGACCATGAAATACAACGTTCTGTATTGCACATGTGCAATACGGAATGTTGTATTTACCTACTAGCCGGAACTACTTTGTATGGAAATCTCCTTGTCATGGCGAACTGTACAGTTCCCGGTATTTGCAAAAAATATCAAAGTTTATAAAATCTTTGTATCGATCTCTACCAAATACGGAAGGTATGTGATAAATAAGAATTCCGGAAAGTATGATGTAGTATTATAAGTATTTAGTAAATTATTAATACAATGGTCAATTAAGATATTATCTTGATAACATGGTGTCATCTTTTGTTTTGTTTCAGTGACTACTTTTTTGACAAATGGCACAGACGTATTTTTTTATGTGTAAGCCCGGGTTTTTTGCTATGGACGCTACGCCCCTGATCGGCCATTATATGCATTACTTGTGGAGGATGTGAGCAAGAAGGAGGAGGAGGAGGAGGCGGCGGCGGCGGCGGCAATAGCGGTGGCAGCAGTATATGAGAGCTGTCCGTCTAATGTAGGGCTACCTCGGTGTACGGGTGTGTACTATACAGGCTAGGCGACACTCGGCACGTGCTAGGCATGTAACAGGTCTCGGTATGCTACCGGGTGCCGACATCGTTGAATACTGACCACTATAGCCATTACAATAACCAATCCCATTCTCTATAATGTTGTGATGGTCATACCGACCATACAGCGTGCCATGGACGTCCGAAATTACTGACGACAGTATCGGGGTGGGGGTCGGGGCAGCCATTTGCCGAGCGTATACTTTGTCGGGTGGGGAGAGATACCTGTAGTGGCACTTTTGCTTCCTTTGCGTTTTCTGTCCATCACATCACATAATTATCTTTTCCAGTACATTCAGAACCACTGAGTCTGTTAAGTATCCAGTTTCCATAAAGTAAATGTCCGTAGAATGCTCAAAATATATATAAAAAAAATATCAGAGCACATACCTGAGATGTCCGTCCACCTGCCTGTCAAGCGCAGACTAAATGATCCTCACGCCAGAGTTGCAAATAATTTTAGGTCCACTTTTGTTCTCAAATATTTGAATAAATTATCATACATTATACATATGTTGTTATTGTCTTCTATAAGTAAGTCTTTCCGATAACAGTTCGATATATTTCACTTGTTTGTGATAAATAAATTGGGCCTGATCCAGAGAGCAACGTATATTCCCTCAATTATTATACCCAAAGAGTTCATGTTCTCGAAACAGATTTCTGCGATTTCTAAGTAGATTTAAGTTCATTGGGCCATAACATCTTTTCCGGTCCTTTACAGCAAATTGAATTCTCTCTGACTGTAATCATTTGTTATCGGCCGCAGAAAACATTATCATTGATTCATTCCACACGTTTCAGTACTGAAAAATATCTCACTTGGTAAGAATCTTGTGCAAATTCCATAATACGGTATGTAAAGTATACTTAAAACTTCACATTCATCCAATTTCCTGTCCATCTTAATTTCACATAGCTTTTTAGAAGGCATGTTAGTTTAGTGGTAGGACGCGTACGCCGGGCTTGTGGCCGAAGGGTTGCGGGTTCGAGTCACGGCACTGTGTTGTATCTTTGAGCAAGATTCTCCACTTGTTCCAGTCTAGTCAGCTGTAAATGAGTACGTGGTTGGGCTGAGTACTAGAATTGTTGAATGCTAGCTATGTGGGCCGAAATGGCAGCACCGGCTGTATGCTCCCCATGGATTTGAGGAAGATATTGGCTGGTTGCAAAGGCCCTATAACCACGGATAATAATTTGTGAACCGCTTTGAGACGACCTGCGAACTAGGTTGTGATAAAGCGGTATTTAAGAACCTCAAATTATTTAAACTTACACACAAAGACAACATAACATATACGATATACTCGGCAGACATATTCCAGGGGTGCAGAGAGCGAAAATGAGCGTAACCCCTGGATGTCGAGGATGCAATATCATGAACCATTTGTAAACAGGAAACACTCTTCACCATCGTCAGTACGGGATTTGGCAAACAACGTGTCAAATGTGCGACGAACCCGAGGAGTGTCGTAGTTATTTCGGCATTCGATGACTTGCTCTCAATATCGTGATTTTTGTGATAGATATCGACTGCTGCAGGACAGTATTGTTTTACTTGTAACACAAGGTTTCAAGAGAAAGGTTGGTGAAGAGTCAGTTCAAGTTGAATTTGTTGATGATGTCAGCTCCCGGCAATATTGACAAGGGAAAACAAACCGACGTCTTGATTATGGATTTTTCCAAAGGTTTTGACAAGGTTAGTCATTCGCTTCTTTGTCATAAGCTTCGTCATTACGGTGTAAATGAGATAGAAAACTTCCTGGATAATAGGAAGCAGACTGTCATCGTTGAAGGGGGACATCTAGCATTGTCGATGTCAAGTCTGGTGTCCCTCAAGGCTCGGTTATTGGTCCATCCCTCTTTCTAATCTATATAAACGACATTCCTGTTGGCCTTCCCTCCACTGTACGTCTATTTGCAGATGACACCATTGTCTATCTTACTATCAAATTACCATTTGATGCCCAGCTATTACAACAAGATTTAGACAAATTAGCTCTATCGGAGATAGCATGGGAAATGTCCTTCCATCCTGACAAATGTAACGTCCTTTCCATCACATACAACAAACACCCACAGCATCACAAATACATGCTGCACGGAAAGGAATTACAACACGTAGACGTAGCAAAATATTAAGATGTCACTATACAATCAAATCTCAAGTGGGAATGTCATATACACTTTATAACATCTGTGGGAAAGCCAACTCCACCTTAGGCTTTCTCAGACGAAATCTAAAGATAAACTCTACATCTGTCAAGGAGCAGGCATATAAAACACTTGTCAGACCATCCCTAGAATATACCTGCTCATTTTGGGACCCTTATACTAAAACAGACATAAGCAAAATAGAAATGGTGCAGCGTAGAGCAGCCAGATTATATTAGTCACCAACAAATTTAGAAACACCTCCAGTGTTGGTGACATGCTTCAACACCTTAACTGGCAATCACTCGAAGACAGAAGGTGAGTCATGCGACTGACAACACTACATAAAACTATACATGATAAAGTCAATATAGGAAAAGACCAACTCATGCCTCCATCCCGCCACACAAGACACGCACCATCATATAAAACACTCTCATGTAGAACACAGGTACGACAACAATCCTTTTTCCCACGTACCATAGTAGACTGGAATAACCTGCCTCCAGATACAACCTCCATTACCTCTTCTGACTGCTTTAAACTGTCCCTAAACAAAAATCACTTCTAACTCCCATACTTATAAATATTCCCTTAGGCTTTCATTATCTTTTATCTTGTCTTCTCTTGGCCTAGCACCCACTATCACGTGACATGATCTTCAAATAGACGAAGGTGGTCATTACTATGTAGATGTAGTAGATGTAGATTATGGGCAAGCTTTGTGGTCTCAATCATGATCTCATAACTACCCCTGTTCTCACATTGAGGACGTTGGATTTATTTTAAATTCACCAGGATTTACATGGTGGGTATCGTCGTTGTACTGTATCAAGGGTTCCATGTAAATCTCTCTTTGCTCAAATTTTGTTTTTTTTCATTTTTTCGTCTATGATTAGTGGCTAAATACTGAAGAAGTGCATGCCTTCACATTGCCGTAAATAGCAAAGCCATAAAGTGACAAAATATTGATAATTAAACATGGTCGGCGACATCCAGACAGGAGGCTAGTTCGCTTTTCAAATATGGTTGAGAAAAGGGATGGTTAAAAAGAAGATGAATTTTGTTCAGAAAACGCTTCTTGCAGGTGTTCTGTAACTTATTTTTCTAGATGTCCTTTTCATTTTCATTCTAATTGCATTGAGACATTATATCATGTAAAATTTCCTCGTGCAGATGTGATAATTTAAAAGAAGATTTTTTTTGACCCTGACTGAATATATACTAACGGAAAAAAGAAACTGTGCATGCCTAATATGTGTTATAAAAATAAATGTGTATGACGTAGAACAACAAGGTATTCAGGGACAATTTATTTGTTATTTATTAACAGTTGCATTCCATTGTCCACGTTATGGAATCAATAAGTTCCGCTCAGGAGTGACGTAAACACAGCAGGGGTCAATGCTGAGTTCACAAAGTTAATACCTCGTATGTCCACCGTTTGCCTGAATGCAAGCTTCGCAACGTCGACGCATGGAGCCTATCAGACGGTTCAAGAATGCTTGTGGGATGGCATTCCAGATATGTACCAACGCTGCAGGCAAATCAGCCAACGTCACCGGTTGATTAGGTAATTCCCGTAATCTGAGCTCCATTTCATCCCAGACGTGTTCAATGGGCGACAGATCGGGGGATACAGCAGGCCAGGGCAACACGTCAACGTTCTGCTGGGCCAGAAAGTCCATAGCGACACGAGCTTTGTTTGATTGGCGTTGTCCTGCTGTAGCATAATGTGACGTTGCTGTCCTTGCACGAGTGGAACGAAGTGGGTCCGGAGGCTCTCGTCACGGTCACGTAGCGTGTTCAAATTCCCGTTACCAACCACCAGAGGCGTTCTCCCGTTGGCTGTGATGCCGCCCCAAATCATAACGCTGCCTCCGCCGAAAGAACGTCGATGTACCACACACGCGTCACGGAAACGTTCTCCACGATACAATCTGGAACGGCCGTCACTACTATCCAGGTGGACTCGCGACTCGTCCGTAAACAAAACGCCTGCCCGATCCCGTCGAGTAATCGCAGAGGTCTTCTGCACCAGTCCAGACGTGCTACACGATGATGTGGCAGAAGAACTGGGCGGATTGCAGGACGTCGCGGACGGATAGCTCGTTCACGCAATCGGTTCCGTACAGTTCTCGGGCTTATTGGTAGCAACCCAGGGATTGTCCGTGCAGTCAAACTTGCCGTTTGGAAACGATTTCTCAAATGAACAAGCCGAATATGGTTGTCGTGTTGACGTGACGTCACACGTGGACGACCCGAACGAGGTCGATCGCCGACGTGGCCAAACTGTTGATGTCGTCTCCACAAATCCCGGATTGTGTTTCAATGGACATGAAAACGTGTAGAGACAACGGCTTGGCCCATACCAGCTTGAAGCATACCAATAATCCGGAGGCGGTCATTTTCATTGAGCATCGGCATAGCATTAATCACAAATTAAAACGTTATAATGCTGTTTTTACTGTGCATTGGTCTCAACAGAGTGACCCGACAGTTGAAAAATAAACTTTCATTGTCGAATTGGATGGCTGGACGAGAAAAACGTGCAAACTGGTCAACGCCTATAGAGAGCAAACTGCACGGGAAAAACTGTCAATGACACACGGATAGTGTGTATGTTTTCATGTATATACAGTTGGTAGACATGTTCTATAACAATTCTCCGCATGCACAGTTTATTTTTTCCGCTAGTATAATTAAATTGTTACATACTTTTTTGTTACTGATTTCTTTCTATTCAAGAAGATCTAGAACGGATTCTTTTTTCTAATCGAGTGATGTCTATTTTTTTGCAAACATGTATGGAAATACAACGATCGATATCAGTGTACACAAATAAATTACAGTGATCAGGAGATATAACCCGTGGATAATGTACATATTATTTGTTTGTCAATCGCTACCCGAAGTTGTCGTTCCTTACAAAAGAACGACAACTCTGTGCAAAGATCTAGAGTTTAGGGGATTCCCAGCGTCCATTTTGCCCGGAAACAAATCTTTTCAAAATGAAAACAACAACGTAAAACATGGATTGAGGTTCAAAACAAAGAGACAATTCATAAGGTTTGTATACCTACAACAAACTGCAATGCGTGTCAAGTTACCCGTTCGTTTTATTACAAATGTTCTGAATCAAACAGATTAAATGGGCCCACGGGATATGCAAGAAAGCCAGGAATAAAATTGTACAATAATAAAATAATGTGTGTATTGACAGACGAACCTAGTAGCTGTGGTACATCTGTATTTGAAATGTATTTTTGAGTCTACTTAAGAGGAGCAAAAATAAATTAATTTACAGTACAATTCCGTATAATTTATCAAAACACTGGTGTTTAAAAATGTGTCATTATATTTGTATGAAAATTTCCAAACGCTTTCAATTTTGACATTGACAGCCGAAGCTTACAGTAGGCTAGGCTAACTGATTTGTCTTTCAACCTAGCCTGAGTTTCCTCTTGCCCTGACACCAGACTTAGACATTTTGACAGAGACTTCTATACATCTGTAAATCTGGTGTCAGGGCCAGAGGAAACTCGGGCTACATCTCAAGTGGATCCTCAGTAATCAAGCTTGAATAAACTAATTCATTAACTGATTTGAACTTTTCTTCTATTCTTAGTTTACTTAGAGTAATGAAAGTCTTAGAGTTATTAATTTATACTCAAAATTAATGCGTTACTAAAGTAAGTATAATGCTGAATGGAAAAGAAAATTTACAAAGCAATTAAGTAATGATGTATTGAGAGCATGATATGGATTTCTAATTCCATTCATTTTAAATCTGTTTAAACTAGAAATATCTATAATAAGCCTAAAGGCCCTGATCACAGAAATATATTCCCTGTCAATGACATAAGGCCTCTTCAAATTTATTTAAATGTCAAATCGGTGTACAATTATAGAAAAAGGCACACACAAAAATTCAACGCAGATTGGAGAGTATTTTTCAATTCCATGGAAGTATGAATCGAATCATTTACATACTCAATAGGCCATGGAGCCTGCTTAAGCTTTGCAGTGGAATTTGGTCACAGAGGTCCTTATTTTGACACTTTTATTTGGTAGAGTATCCTGACATCAAATTCTGGTCCTCCCTGTTGAATTTTCCTTATTGACCTTATCACATTACAAAACATTTTAACTTAATTTATTGATTTCAGGTCAGAAGGCACCTAGTCGCAGCCTAGTCGCAGCCGATCATGGCTGCGGGAGAGTACAGAAACCTTCCTGACCTACAGCCAGAGGCATGCCCAATCTGTATGGACACTTACAAAAACCCGAAGATTTTGCCGTGCAGTCACACAATGTGTCGGGAGTGTCTGGAGAATTTGCTAGCTTCTGGATACAAGTCAGATGTGCTTGTCTGTCCCATATGTAGGAAACAAAACCAAGTACCGCCAGAAGGTGTAGGAAAGTTTATGCCAAACTATTTTGTTCCCACATCATCAGGGGAATCAGTATTGTCTACATGCAATGTATGTGAGACTGTTCTATCCGACTTCCAAAAGAAATCTGGAAGATGTTCTTACTGTGATGGTCAGATGTGTGCCCAGTGCTATCAGAAACACTGCCACCCCGAGAATGAGATGAGAGGTCTTCGACGCACTGCATCACAAGAAGATGAGTACAGTGATGGATTAGAGTTGGATGGCTCTCATCGTAGCATCAGGGACAACCTTATGCTGCAGCTTCAGGGTAAGGCTCAGAGTATCATAAGCGGAAGAATGGTCAGTACATTTCAATGTGAACAACAGTCGGCACAACCGATCAAGGTCACAAAAATTGTGGTGACAAAAGATAACAAAATGTGGATCCTTGTAGGAAACGGCCCGTTCATTATAAAGTATGATTCTCATGGCATGGAACTTGATCGAAAATTTGTGGACGGGAAACTGTTGGACATTGCATTACACACAGATGGTTCTCTTCTTATGGTTTTAGAGAACTATCACTTTGTGATGATCTTGTCTTATACAGACTCCCAAATAAGGGAATATGTGAGTACCACAGACAGCCTCAGCCCACAGTGTATTCTCACGCTGCCGACAGGGTGCCTAGTTGTGACCGCAGTTAACTTGAGATCTGTACAACAAGAAAGCATTATCCTTTTGTACAACGGTCAAGGTACTATTATCAACTCCATTCAGTGTAACCAACGAGGTGTGGCATATGGTACGATTGTCTCCCTTGCCAGTAATCTTAAACATGGACAAATTTGTATTGCTGATGAAAAAAGGCAACATGTTTACTTCTTGAGGGAGGGTGTAGCTCCACTGACTTTCACTCGGCCTCAAGGGTTCCCAACAAGGAATCGAGGAGGTAGTTTCTCAAACTCAAGGTATCGGGGGTTTAAACCAAAATCAATGTCCTGTGACTCAAAGGGAAATGTGTTTGTCTACGACGATGCTTCAGGTATGATACTTGTGCTGAGCTCCTCAGCCAAGCTTCTAGGTATTGTCCTGCCAAATGATGCAGACTTGGCAGGAAATCCAAACTGTATAGCCATTGACTGTCAAGATAGGCTTCTAGTTGGGGACGAGTCATCAGGAAAAGTTCGTATTTATGAAACCGAAGCAACTTACAATAATCTGGGTCAAATAGACCAAGATGCTGGGGCATTTTTTGCATCAATGCAGCAGCGTTTGACTGATTCAGGAGGAGGTGGGATCCAGGAGCTGGTGGACATCTCCAGCCAAATGAGTGTGAATCCCAACATGTTTTTGAATGCTGTGCTCAATCACCAACAAAACTATTAATAAAGAGCATTCTATGAATTAAGATGTACCACAAAATCATGATTGACAAACATTCTTATATATATAGTTACCCTATTTAGTTACCCTATTTAAAATTGAAGTGCAAGGGTGATAATATTTCAATCAAATAAGGATCGAAAACGAAATGTTTAGTATGGATCTTGCAGGCAGCAGGGTGATATTCTATGAATCATGTTTTGTAACAATAATATTAATTAACACCAAGAGTTTTAATAATTATACAAATACATGTTATACACCTTTTTATCAACCATTTGTCTACTGTAAATGAAGATTGTCAGTTGGTCATTTGGTAACTTGAGAAAAATATTGGGTGTAAATTAAACACTACTGTGATATGTACAGATCATTAAGGGTGCTATATTTGATGTTAATGTAAGAGCAATGTTCTCATCTAGAGCTTGTGGATAAAATCTGGAGACCCAGGTGCAGCTAGTGGGCTCAAGATTAATCCACATGCATCAGATAGGAAACTTGATCAAACTAAAAACTTGTAAATACTTGTGACTGTGCGATAAAAAGCTGTTTTTATATACAAGTACATGTACATGTATATGCAGGGATAATCCTGGTGGGGGCCATTGATACCTCAAAAATGAAATTGACCCTTCCATTTTCCATTTTCCAATTTTCTTTTAATTGTACATAGAATAGCCCCTCTTAATTTTGATTTTGACCAAAAATTGCTGAAAGTGGCCCACTGCTCTCAACTTCCAGGATTTTCCCTATATATGTAACTATATTTTATATAGCTAATATATTTTCCGTTCACTTAAAAGCCACCTTGTGTCATTATCCTTCAAGTGTTGTTGAGAAAATGTTAACAAATACAAGTGTACAGGTTTTGGGTGTTGTAATGCCTGTCTGTTCTGTAATTCAGTGAGGGGGGGGGGGGGGGGGGGGGGTCGGAATCAAAACCTAACATTGCTGTCACGTTCAGTAATGGCACATTGTGATCTGTCTCAGCAAATTAACATTATCTTATACAAATAGTTATTTAATTTTAGAAACAACATTCCCATATGGGAATGTCCATTCTTAGTTCTGTTCTTGTCTTTTTCTGTGCGGCCCGATTAATTTTACTTTTGCATCAAATGCAGCTTTGACTTGAAATGGCTCTATTGAAGTCGATACCATTAAACATTCTTGTACAGAAAGAAAATATGAAACTGAATTGAACCACAGGTCAACATGAGTACCCTTCAGACAAAATAACTGGACTTTAAAATACAGCAGTTTTAGATGTTTCTGGTAAATCTCGGTAAATGTTATATTCCAATGGTCAGAACTTAACTGCTAAAGCAATGTAATGCCAACGCATTTCCTTTGGTTAAGGAATTCTTTAACCTAAAGTTTAATCATTTAATTTTGGCTAAACCTCCAGTGTAAGACTTTACTACACCTATAACCTTAAAAATGAGAGAACACAAAAAGTGATAACAACCTATACTGAAATGTTAGGCGCAGTGCTTGTAATTCTAATTTTTGATTGGTTGAAGTTGCTCGACGATTAGTTACTGCGCAATATTATTTTGTTTTTATCAGAAACGAATAAATATCGTTCACTAACCATGAATTAAACAATATTGTCTGACTGTTTAAATTCAATTCTAAGGGATAACCAGCATTGTTGTTGTGGTTATACAGTATGGACACTGAAAAAAACTACCGTATAACCCCAAAAATAATGCTGGTTATTCTTTATGTCTCTGAAGTCAACATAAATTTGTTCCTAAAGAAAAAATTGCTAATGCAAAATGATACTAAATTGATTGTAAGTGCACAGCATACATTGGCCTTGTTTGGAAATACATGTATACTATATATATGTACAAGATGCTATGCAAGTGGTTGATCTTAAGCTTGCATACTGTACAATACATGTACGCGGACCGTTACATACATTTTGTATTAGATCTGAAGTAATGCTATGGGTTTTCTTAGTCCTAATATAATGGTCACCTCATCCCTCAAGTGTGTAATAACCACATACAGTTGGTTGGTTGGTTGGTTGGTTGACGGGTTTATCACCTACATGACTCCACCCATACGGGTTTCATCTCACTGACAGAGTTTGGTGTTCCGAAACTTGTATGGGTGGAGTAATGTAGGCGATAGACCCGTCAACCAACCAACCAACTGTATGTGGTCATTACACACTAGATGACCACATACAGATCCTAGTCAATCAATTATAGTGGCAGTAGGCCTAGTCATTGTACATGTGCAATACAGCAGAAAATCTACTTTCTATTTGCAGAGGGATTTTTCAACAGTTCAATAGACAGGTGTATATTGTTTGTTTAGTATTACAAGGACAAATGTAAGAGGCGAAACCTGATTAACAAAGCATATGTTCCAGATGGCTCAACTCATTTACCCCTGAAGACACATTTGAACTCTTCCAATACAAAGGTTGGAATAGTTCATTATGAAATTTCAGGGGTGAATGAGTTAAACATCATTGTTAAGCATTGTTATTGGTGAACAGTGAACTAGTGGTTTATTTAATTGTTATGATCGTTATGTTTTGAAACAATGAAATACCAGTGCTCCTGTCTGTATTAAATTACTTTGAAACTAATGTAATGACTTGTTTTCATTTTACCATCTTACAATTTTATGGGTTTCAAATCTCAAAATATATATATTTACATCCCTTTGTTTCAATATTTCAATATCATGTGATTGATGGTGTATGTACAGTATTGTAGAAACTTCCAACTACTATGAAACCACTTATATATTCGTTTTTTTATAGCCCACCATCATCACATTGTGTGTTTTTCAAATTGCCCTACATCCATGGTCCGTCATCCTTCCGTTTGTCCTTAAACAGTTCTTGTTAGTGCTATTTCTCCAAAATACCAGAGGCATCTGTCTTATATTTCACATAAAGAGTTCCACATAGTCCCTAGTTGTGCATATAGAATTCAAGATGGCTGATGGGTGGCCATCTTGAATTTTGAGATATGAATTTTTAATTGCTATTTTGTTTAAAGACTTAAAAAATACTTGATAAAAATACTCTTTATAAGAATCAATCTGTTTTTGCCAACACTTCTAATTTTAGTATGTAAGAATTACAAAGTTTTAGCATTTATGCATATAGTTGTGCAATTTTTATACAAATATCATTTGTCATAATGGCATATAACATGACATTACGAGGTTTAAGTTAATTTTACAATATGTACAGCTCTTCACACAAACAAACTACAGGCTTAATATCATCACCTTTACATTAGTCTTCGTTTCCAGAAGATGTTGTCTTGAAGCTGTAACATGTACATTTGACTCCTGTGACCTTAAAGTAGGTCAATGTCTTACAACTTTTTAGCCCTTCATCCCACCATACTACTATAGCCAAATATCATACAAGGTCTGCTTATTCTGAAGACGTCATTAAATATTTGTATGTATTTTAATCTCGGCCCAAACTCTGTTATGTTAGAGATCTTGCCTTAGGTACTTCTTCAATATACACTGTAAATGACATTATTTTTGTATTGCATGTATGATAGTCGTCACCTCTCCCATCACCTTATCATTGCTATGGATCCACTGTTCGGCCAGTGTTTTGGGAAGCAGATACTGTATATGTCTTTTTTTCTATTTGAATAAAGTATCTTTCCAGTACCAGATAATTCAGCCATTTTGAATTTCAATCACTTAAGCTGGGAACCAAGATAGCTGAATCGGACTGCTTCTCTCCTATGTCTGCTACAGATTTCCTCACTTTGAATGCTTTGGATGTCATAATACTTGGTAATGTTTCTAGGATTGACGACTGGAGTTGCGTGTAAATAGGTGTTATGAGAGAAAAGGTCTCTTGATAACACATCATGATTGGTGGTCATGTTTATCAACCATCTCATCAGCCTATTCAATCATTTTAAAAAGAAAGTGTCAGGTATCTGCTTTTTTTTAAAAAGAATAAAATCACTCAAGCTGACTGTTTGTCACTAATATAAACTAATATAAACAGCCACTGTTCTGAGAGACCGATATCTTGTGTCTTACTAAAATTTGTCTGGTAATACAGCCATTCCACAATCTAACAACTGAAGCTGGGAAAAACACATGGTCACCAACCATCATCGGTCAAGAAACCTCTATATAAACATGTAAAACTCAACTTTTGTAACAATAACTTTAATATTATAAAACCATACATCAAATTATGACTGTGTCCGTTCGAATCTGTTCAGCACATTCCCCGAATCTCTGTGCTGGTTATGCTGGTTCCCACGTGCTGTGTCCGACTTTTTCTTCATTTCCCGCCTCACTGCCTTCCTCTGATCCTCCTCCACCACACCTTTCTTTCTCTGTTCTCTCTTCCTTCCTTTATTCTTTCCTTTCATCTTGTATTTTGGAGTGTAGTCCATCAGTTCAGGCTTCAAGGTCTAAAATGTGCAAATCATCATTTTTTTTTATTGTATCAGTCATTATGTATAGAAATATATTTCCTTTCTGATAAAGGAACGATGACACTTAGATATCAAAGGAGTTGGTATTTAAGTCCGGACACACACAGACATCGATGTCCGTTTGGTAATAACCTAGCTTCCATCCTTAAAGGCCAACTCCTGTGATAATCAAATATCGGTGGCTTTCTTTTGTGAACACCAAGAATACTGTAACAAGACTTTTTTCAACCTGTTATATTTTCATTCTCTTTGACCTTGTACAAGACAGCAAGTAAACAACGTCAGTGTAGCTTTATAATAACAGGCATGTGAATTCAACACTGGGATTATTCATTGAATGAGAAGACAGAAAATATTTCAGATTAGTTTTCTGAATTACCAATTCAAGATGGCGTTCATTCTTCCAAAAGTTATCTCTATGGCTACACTTTTTTACATACATATAAAATTACATTTTATCGCTACTTCAATATCAGTGGCTTCTCCCACCTCCCGAAAAAGAAAAAAAATATCTACTATTATTATTTTTACGCCCTGTTTGGAGTTTGGAGGTCATTTACAACTTGTCACCAATACGAAGAGTCAGACCTCCACCTACCAAGGATGAAATGCTTACGAACGCTTGGAACCTCACATCTGACTAAGACAGGTTTATAAGCAGGATAACTATATTCATGTTTGTATTACATTATGTGTTTACTGTACAAACTACAGCCTCAGTCCATACCTTGATACTATTTGTCAACTCAATCCGCTGCTTGAAAGTTTTGATGTCGATCTCGCCAATCCTGTCATTCAGGTGAATCATGTCTGCTGGGATCTGTAAATTCAATGTAATACAAATGTACAGTACTGTGCATGTAAACTTGATAATCCTGACAGTTACTTAACAAGTAATACATGTATGACTATCCTCTTAGAATACATGTAAATCAGCATGCCTATCCTGTTCATTATACATGCTTACCTATAGGACTATCTATATAATACCCAAAGCTATAATACAGGTATACCAAACCTTTATGCTAACCTAAAAAGTCATCAAACGTATATACCTGTATGACTACCTTAATAACCTGTTACTATACCACAGCAGAACCTGTTTAGTCAGGACACTACTGAATTAATGGAACCGCTTTGAGACGACCTACGAACTAGGTTGTGATAAAGTGGTATATAAGAACCTCAAATTATTATTACCAGGTATTAATTATGGCCTCTTATTGTAAATAGCTAGTTTCTCCAAAAACATTTTTGATTAAAAAGTCATCATAAACTGATTTTTTTAAAATGAAAATTGAGAAATATCTTGAAAAGGTACAAATGTTGTCTTTCTTGTCTTTAGATGAGCTTCTGGAATAATGTTTGTAGTAGTTCGACCAAAATGGTTCATCTGAAACACATCCATTCATGCTATCACCTATCAGCTCCGTGTAGGGACATAAAGAATGGACCGATCGAAACACTGGTCATCAGTTTATACCTTGTCCAGCAGCATCTTGACCTCAGCCTGGCGTCGCTGTTTCTTACTCTGGAAGGGGTTGGCTTCAAGGGCATCAAAGTTTGGCTCACCAGCACCTGTACGTCAAACAAAAATCGGCACCAAACGTAATTAAGAAGATACGAACGTAGTTATACTTCAAAGATGATATCAAAAACGTGTTGTGCTGCAAAGTAGAAAATAGAAGACCCCGTCCCCCTAAAAAAAATATTACAGTATTTTTTTATTTTTTTTTTTTAAATATATCAATAAGCATTTTTATACATTAAGAAAACAAAGACTTCTATACACTGGAACGATCATACATCTACAGCTGCACAGCAAGTTGTGTGTTTGGGTAAAAGTAACGAAAGCTTCCAGATATTAAAACTGCACTTTAGAATTTTACATTGAAAACAGATTTTCAGAATTAAGTAATTCCAAAACCACCGACCTACCTGGGATGAGTAGGCTCTCGAAGCCCCGCTCATGACCAACACCAAGGACATCCTCATAGGGACAGAACTGGACATTCAACACTGATCCTGGGAGACGATGGGACATGTAAGGGGAGGTAACTGTCTGTCTACAACAGTCCTTGTATACCTGTATAGAATAATAAACTTTATAATTTAAACAATTATACATGTACTAGATTTTTGCTACTAAAAATTTTGGGCAACATTGCTGCTTTAAATTAACGTTTAGGTATATCACTCATTAATTGCGTTTTGATCAAAGGCTTAGCGCAACCTCTAGAGATGTATGCTGTCCATTTGTCAAAAAAGGGGCTTTTCATCAAAAGCTGACTCAAGATGATATTTTTGTTACATTAAATATACATATACTGCAGTTCTTCAGTAACAGCATCCAAGTATCCAAGAATTTGAAAAAAAAAATTACTTGCCAAATAAGTCTGTTTATTGCTTATGTAGCTATTATCCATGGTTTTTTTCAAATCTTACCTCCACTATGTTGCCTTTACTGACAGCAAGCATGTCCCTTTGACTGAAAGCTAAAGAACTAGCTCCAATTCCAATTTGGTAGGACTGAAGCATTTTGTAATTGCGGATATCCCAGATCTTCAACTTCCTGTCTATGCCTGACGTTGCTATGTATCTGAAGATAACGACCAATAGTAAGAATAAAATCATTTCAGAATTTAATATAAGTTATATCACTTGACAAAAACAATATATATTTTCAAATGGCAGCATTGTTTGTATGGACTTGATTGCTTCAAAGGAATAAATTTGTATTGCAATCACATTTTTTTTCACAACAAACACCTACCAATATGTTGAGATGATTGGTTTGTTTGTGTTTTACGTTCTATTAACAGCTATGGTAATTTAAGGACGTGCCTGGTTTTGGTGGTGGAGGAAAGCCAGAGTTCCAAAGGAAAAACCACCTATCTACTGCCAGTACCTGGCGACTGCCCCACATAGGTCTCAAACCCGCGACCTAGTGGTGGAGGACTAGTGGTAGCAGAATGTCAGACGCTTTAACCACTTGGCCACCGCAGCCCAATGAGGTAGATGTGTCAAAGCATAACTAGCGATAATTGTTATTAGTACACATTGTACCAGTTATCAGTGAAATACCACGTACAATGACGATAAAGAAGCTTTGAGATCATCTGACAATCAGTATTTAAATGCATAGCAATAAAATGTACGGGACTTAAAATGATTTTAATAAATTGGGAATATTAGATACCAATTCTACTTATCCAGTAAATCAATATAAAAAGATTTTTTTTACATACTTTCCCTGGGGGTCGACAGCTATGGATCGGACACCGTGTCTGTGACACAACATTTTTACCAACGGTTCCTTCACATTTGGCGACCACATCGTAACAGTACCTAGAAACAGTTAATAGCATGCTTCCATTAAATATTCGTAACTTGTCAGACATTTTATTTTTGAAGAATTTATGTTTCTTGCCTATTTACTCTAGTAATACAGCAAAAAAGAAACAATTATAAAGTTTTAATCATTTTTTTTCCAAATCGAAATGAAACTAGAACACTGACAGGTCAGTAAGGGCCCCGTCTTGTGGCAATATATCCCCCATAATCATCAAGAAGCAATCTGCCCATATAGCTGAGCTTGACGTTTGATATGTGGACTTCAAAAAGAATCGCAAGGAAGCAAAATATACATTTTACATGTACTATGATGTGAGTCTTGTTTCCTTCCACCTCCATATTTGCTGGACTAACAGAAATGTAAGTACCGGTGCAATACTCATTTGTTAGCTTTGATTTGTTTTATTTAACCTTATATACCTCCTCCATCAAGAGCCAGGGTCAAAGTCAGAGATCCACTTTGTCTTTGACCTTTGGACCCAAATGACCTTGACCATTAACCCAGTGACCCTGATCTTTGGTCAGTTGACTTATTTATTCTTTAATTCCGACCAACTTTGCTCCTTAATATCATAACAAAATGTTTATCAGTGAAAATACAAAACTTGACCTTGACCCTTTGAAACCCGTAACCTGGACCTAAGGTCAGTTGACTCTGTGTTAAGTTCTGAACAACATTGCTTCATAGTGTCATAACAAAATGTTCATCAAGGAAAAGGTGCATAATTTGACCTTGACCCCTGACCCAATGACCTTGACCTTATGTCAGTTGACTCCTTGTTTAATTCTGATCAACTTTGCTTCATAATGTCATAACAAAATGTTCATCAGTGAAAACATGTAAAATTTGACCTTGACCTTTGAACCCAATGACCTTGACCTTTGACCTCGACTTTTTACCTCAGTGTGTATCTTTGTTTAATTTCGAACAACTTTGCTCCATAATGTCATAGCGAAATGTTCACCAGTGAAAAGCTACAAAATTTGACCTTGACCACTGACCCGATGACCTTGACCTTTGGTCAGTAGACTCCTTGTTTAATTCTGATCAATTTTGCCTCATAATGTCATAACAAAATGTTCATCAGTGAAAAGATGTAAAATTTGACCTTGACCTTTGAACCTAATGACCTTGACCTTTGACCTTGACTTTTTACCTCAACGTGTATTTTTGTGAACTTAACATCTTGACCAAGTATCATGTACATCGGTCAATAAATATCAAAGTTATCAGCCAGGAACAAAATTTGTGGACGGACAGACAGACGGACAGACAGACAGACAGAGTGATTACTATAGGGCACCCGTATCTCCGATACGGGGCCCTAACAAGCTTAATAGTTTAAAATCTTTCCTTACCTCCCGAATGTCCTAAACACAGTGTTGCATTGTTTGGGTTTTGACACATCACATCCAGTCTGCCCAAGCCAGTCGCATGGCCTGCAACCTTTTCACCTATCGACACATCAATCCAGGACAAATAACCCTTTGAACTCTGAAAAATAAAATTATTGAAAATTTTCCTTATAGAGATTCCCATAGCAGTAGAGGTTGGTTTTCATGTCTCTGCTCAACATATTTCAAAAGCAGAAAAACTTGTCATATATATTTAAACAACAGTCAAAGAGGGCGTGTATTGGTTGACTTGGTGCTAATTAGGCAAACATGACAAGAAATATCTCCCTATTTTGTACTCTGCCTCTAAGTACCCCGTTTCCCAGTCCCCAGGAGCAGTGCTGGACCCTAGTTCCAAATCTGTACATGTATTGTATGATGTGTTTGTCTTCTCATGCCAAGCAAGCGAGTACCTGGGGTATATCGCCGGACACTCAGAGGATAGGAATCTCAACAGTAGTCTTAATTAATGTGTTTGTTCCTTTTCCTGTGCACACAACTGTAAGTACTGTATATCAGGAAATTGTCATCCTAGTTTATATTTTCCTTGTGAAGTATAAAATTAACACAGGGAAAGTATGCAAGCTTGCCAACTCTCCCTATTTAGGATGGGGACTCCAGATTTTGAACCCTTGAATTTATTATTTTCAACCCGTTTATTTGCTAACTATACCTATATTATAAAATCTAATAATTTCAACTGAAAAAAACTCACAATAAGTCATTTTAAAGGGTAATTGTGTCTCTCATAGGTATCTACACAAACTTTATTTATGTTTCAATTTTGAGCATGCAGAATCTCCCCAATAGAAATTTCAAAAAGTTGGCAAGTATTTATTTTACATGGGCAGATAATGCTTATCATTAACTAATGTATATCACTGAGCAACAGTAAAATCATCCTGTATTGGTTACTATAGGGCCGACAGACACCAACAGGACTATCAAACAAACAGTTCCAAAATGTTTACTAAACAAACAGGATCATTCTTTTTTTAAACTGAGTAATAATGGTCAAGTTGTTCTGTCTGCTAAAACAGAAACCGCTGTGGCCAAGTGAATAAAGCATCTGACATTCTGCTACCAATAGCCCTGTGGCAGTTGCCAGGTACTGGCCGTAGGTCAGTGGTTTTTCTCTGGGAACTCCAGCTTTCCTCCACCACCACCACCACCACCACCACCACCAAAACCTGGAATGTCTTTAAATGACCATAGCTGATAATAAGACGAAAAACCCAAAACAAACGAACAGAAAGACCATTCTCACCGAGCTGGCCAGCAGGAAGTGAAAGGGAAGGAACTCTAGTCGTAATGCACTGTCCACCATCTTAAGACAGTGAAGCTCTATACCCTGGTTGTCGTAGATGTACGTCCATTGTTTCTGAGCTACAGCATACATGGTCTCCTGATGAAGCCACCTGTCAACGACAATATGTCAACGTTTATCGTATACTAGTCTACACACAATGTAATTCATTTGAAATTACTGAGTTATGATATGTTCACCCGTTTCAGGACAAAGAATTATGTTTAAGCCATGGGATACCAATATTCACAGTAAGCTACCAATTCAAAGATAAGAAATGGGATAGCTAATCTGATCTATTTTGATTTACATATATCAAATATGGTAAATGTGTATCAAAAGAGTTAAATAATTATAAGATGAAATCAGGCAATCATTAAGCATTGGGTCTTTATATACATTAGTATCTACCCTAATTAGACTGAGCTCCTCTGCCTGCATTGTGGCTAAGGTATAAAGGTCTTTATCCCCTTCCTCCTATACAAAATTAAATGCCCTTGATCCAAACATGATCCATACCATTGGTTAAAAGTCCTTTTCCGATACTTAATGAGCACAATTTTCAGGATTTCTATCTATTTCAGCTATTGGGTCTTACCTCTTCCATCCAAGGGGGACAACACTCTCTATTTATGGACCATTGGATACCCTTGGCCCATCAGGCCAAAAATCACAACTTTCTCCACTTACATCCCCTTTACCCGAAAGGGTAGGATGGTTGGAAATATTTATTTTTATTTTGGTTTGGTTTGTTCATTTATCAATACAGTAATAAGGTCACTTGCCATATTGGCAGGTCAGCTAAACAAATAATGCTGAAGTTTAAAAATAACTACATATACATACTGTATATCATGAATGGTTTCCATGACATTGATTTCACATAATAATTTCTTGGTCAACCAATCGATAGCTGCTATATGCCCTTTAGCTCCACCCATCAACATGAAACGTCCATTTCTCGTATATTGAGCACGATAAGGGCCAAATTCATTCAATCTTAATTCAAAATGCTGCAAGAAAAAGTACATGCATATATTACAGTTACATGATATCAAAAGCTGCATTAATTTGTTTGTTGATATGTGGAGACCTAAAGTAGATAATTAATACACTGGTATTTCTTACAATGCTTGTTTTATCATAAAATAGCAAACATTTTTACATTGAAAACGCCGAGTCGATGAAGTCCTTTATATAAAAAAATTGGCAAAGGTGTAAAACTTCACTAGCCTGATGCCCAGGACAAGTTTATTTTATGTTGATAGAACTAGGGAAATTGTGTATTGTTTCAAGTCACATGACTTTTATTGGTACTTTATTGTCACCATGTACAATCACCAAATAGCTGTGCTCTGATGACAGCCTGTCTAGCAGGCTGAAACTAGTCAGCACAAGTAGGAATACAGCTATGGATACTTGGATTCAGGAGTTGCTTCTCTGCTGTGTAATGATTAAATAAGTTTACCTTTTGTGCACTCGTGATGTCCACAGCCTCCACGATGTCCCCCTGTGATATATTTGTGGTATGTGTGCCGTCATCTCCTTCAAGGTAACTACAACAACCGGACACTGTCATTAGAAAGACAGTAGTAAAGAAAACAAAATAGTCCAATATGTTTGACAAAAATGTACTTCAATATTATAACAAACTAAGTTTACACAGTCTATATATAAAAAAAGAAAACAGGTCTGATTTAACAAGTCAGACACAAACACTATGGAAGCAAAAACGGAAACCAAATATGACTGCTCCCTCTGGAAAAAGGTTTCTCAACAGGAAGGAAGTCTTCCTTTGCCTCAGAAAGAGAATGTCTTGCCCTGCCTCAGAGAGGAAGTCTTACCCTGCCTCAGACAGAGAGTGAAAGCCTTAACTTGTCTCGAACAGTGTGAAAGTCCTGCCTCAGAGAGGAAGTCTTACTCTGCCTCAAACAGTGTGAAAGTCTTACCCTGCCTCAGACAGAAAGTGAAAGTCTTACCCGGCCTCAGACAGAAAGTGAAAGTCTATACCTGTCTCAAACAGAGAGTGAAAGTCTTATCCTGCCTCAGACAGAGAGTGAAAGTCTTACCCTGCCTCAGACAGAGAGAAAGTCTTATCCTGCCTCAGAGAGGAAGTCTTACCCTGCCTCAGAGAGGAAGTCTTACCCTGCCTCAGACAGAGAGGAAGTCTTACCCTGCCTCAGACACAGAGGAAGTCTTTCTCTACTGCAGAAAGAGAGGAAACGTTCCTCGGAGCTGAAGTCTTACCCTGCCTCCTCTGTTAACAGGTATTCTGATCTTGCGGCCTGTTTCACAGCTGCTTTCATCTTCTTCTCCCTCTTACGGATCTCCCCCATGGCTAACTTTGATCTGGCCCATTTCTACACAACAAAATGTAAATCAATGATGTACTTATGTAAATTCAGTACACCATTTCTGAAACTATATTCATCATTTGTAATGTATGTATATATCGATGCATTCAAATATTTTTTTCAAGTAAATTGTTTGATAAAGAAATTTTGTTCAATTAAAAATATCAAGACTTCAATAAGCAGTCCTTAAGAGATTATAATGCTTACTCGTACTAACAAAGACCTAACAGAGTCCCATACTAACAAAGACCTAACAGAGTCTCCAACTAACAAAGACCTAACAGAGTTTTCAACTAACAAAGACCTAACAGAGTCTCCAACTAACAGTCTCTAACTAACAAAGACCTAACAGTCTCCAACTAAAAGAGATTATAATGCTTGCTCCAACTAATGAAGACCTAACAGAATCTCCAACTAACAAAGCCCTAACAGTCTCCAACTAACAAAGACCTAACAGAGTCTCCAACTAACAGTCTCTAACTAACAAAGACCTAACAGTCTCCAACTAACGAAGACCTAACAGAATCTCCAACTAACATAGACCTAACAGAGTCTCCAACTAACGAAGACCTAACAGAATCTCCAACTAACAAAGACCTAACAGAGTCTCTAACTAACAAAGACCTAACAGTCTCCAACTAAAAGAGATTATAATGCTTGCTCCAACTAACGAAGACCTAACAGAATCTCCAACTAACAAAAACCTAACAGTCTCCAACTAACAAAGGCCTAACCGAGTCTCCAACTAACAAAGACCTAACAGTCTCCAACTAACGAAGACCTAACAGAATCTCCAACTAACATAGACCTAACAGAGTCTCCAACTAACGAAGACCTAACAGAATCTCCAACTAACAAAGACCTAACAGAGTCTCCAACTAACAAAGACCTAACAGAGTCTCCAACTAACAGTCTCTAACTAACAAAGACCTAACAGTCTCCAACTAAAAGAGATTATAATGCTTGCTCCAACTGGCGAAGACCTAACAGAATGTCCAACTAACAAATACCTAACAGAATCGCCAACTAACAAAGACCTCACAGAGTCTCCAACTAAAAAAGACCTAACAGTCACCAACTAAAAGAGATTATAATGCTTGCTCCAACTAATGAAGACCTAACAGAATCTCCAACTAACGAAAACCTAACAGTCTCCAACTCACAAAGACCTAACAGAGACTCCAACTAACGAAGACCCAACAGAATCTCCAACTAACGAAAACCTAACAGTCTCCAACTCACAAAGACCTAACAGAGACTCCAACTAACAGTCTCTAACTAACAAAGACCTAACAGTCTCCAACTAACGAAGACCTAACAGAATCTCCAACTAACAAAGACCTAACAGTCTCTAACTAACGAAGACCTAACAGAATCTCCAACTAACAAATACCTAACAGAATCTCCAACTAACAAAGACCTAACAGTCTCCAACTAACGAAGACCTAACAGAGTCTCCAACTAACAAAGACCTAACAGAGTCTCCAACTAACAAAGACCTAACAGAGTCTCCAACTAACAAAGACCTAACAGAGTCTCCAACTCACAAAGACCTAACAGAGTCCCATACTAACAAAGACCTAACAGAGTCTCCAACTAACAATGACCTAACAGAGTCTCCAACTAACAAAGACCTAACAGAGTCTCCAACTCACAAAGGCCTAACAGAGTCCCATACTAACAAAGACCTAACAGAGTCTCCAACGTACAAAACCCTAACAGTCTCCAACTAAAAGAGATTATGATGCTTGCTCCAACTAATGAAGACCTAACAGAATCTCCAACTAACATAGACCTAACAGAGTCTCCAACTAACGAAGACCTAACAGAGTCTCCAACTAACAATGACCTAACAGAGTCTCCAACTAACAAACACCTAACAGAGTCTCCAACTAACAGTCGCTAACTAACAAAGACCTAACAGTCTCCAACTAAAAGAGATTATAATGCTTGCGCCAACTAACGAAGACCTAACAGAATCTCCAACTAACGAAGACCTAACAGTCTCCAACTAACGAAGACCTAACAGAGTCTCCAACTAACAAACAACTAACAGAGTCTCCAACTAACAAAGACCTAAGAGTCTCCAACTAAAAGAGATTATAATGCTTGCGCCAACTAACGAAGACCTAACAGAATCTCCAACTAACGAAGACCTAACAGTCTCCAACTAACGAAGACCTAACAGAATCTCCAAAAAACAAAGCCCTAACAGTCTCCAACTAACGAAGACCTAACAGAGTCTCCAACTAACAGTCTCTAACTAACAAATTCCTAACAGTCTCCAACTAAAAGAGATTATGATGCTTGCTCCAACTAATGAAGACCTAACAGAATCTCCAACTAACGAAGACCTAACAGTCTCCAACTAACGAAGACCTAACAGAATCTCCAACTAACAAACACCTAACAGTCTCCAACTAACGAAGACCTAACAGAGTCTCCAACTAACAATGACCTAACAGAGTCTCCAACTAACAAACAACTAACAGAGTCTCCAACTAACAAAGACCTACCAGTCTCCAACTAAAAGAGATTATAATGCTTGCGCCAACTAACGAAGACCTAACAGAATCTCCAACTAACGAAGACCTAACAGTCTCCAACTAACGAAGACCTAACAGAATCTCCAACCAACAAAGACCTAACAGTCTCCAACTAAAAGAGATTATGATGCTTGCTCCAACTAATGAAGACCTAACAGAATCTCCAACTAACGAAGACCTAACAGTCTCCAACTAACGAAGACCTAACAGAGTCTCCAACTAACAGAGACCTAACAGTCTCCAACTAAAAGAGATTATGATGCTTGCTCCAACTAATGAAGACCTAACAGAATCTCCAACTAACAAACACCTAACAGTCTCCAACTAACGAAGACCTAACAGAATCTCCAACCAACAAAGACCTAACAGTCTCCAACTAAAAGAGATTATAATGCTTGCTCCAACTAACGAAGACCTAACAGAATCTCCAAAAAACAAAGCCCTAACAGTCTCCAACTAACGAAGACCTAACAGAGTCTCCAACTAACAGAGACCTAACAGTCTCCAACTAAAAGAGATTATGATGCTTGCTCCAACTAATGAAGACCTAACAGAATCTCCAACTAACAAACACCTAACAGTCTCCAACTAACGAAGACCTAACAGAGTCTCCAACTAACAATGACCTAACAGAGTCTCCAACTAACAAACAACTAACAGAGTCTCCAACTAACAAAGACCTAAACAGAGTCTCCAACTCACAAAGACCTAACGGAGTCCCATACTAACAAAGACCTAACAGAGTCTCCAACTAACAAAGACCTAACAGAGTTTCCAACTAACAAAGACCTAACAGAGTCTCCAACTAACAAATTTACAATTGCACATTAATACTCACTGTGGTTGTTAGCTTTCCCCTCTGATATTTCTTCAATCTGTCTGCAGGTATGGCAGCCTCACCTGGGAAAGGATCCACCTATAGGGCAGAAACAAGTCATATGTAGTGATTGGTTCAAATGTATTCACATTACCTACAAGAGCAGGTGTATATTACATGAATCTGGGAACATAATATTGATTATTTTAGGAAATTCTCATTACAAAATGTGCTATAAATATTGTTTTTAGTTGTTTAACTTAAAAAATCGATAGAATTGAGAATCACATTGAATGAAAAAGAAGAATTAAATATTCATGCAGTATGAAATGTTAAGAATGAACTTCAGTACTTAACCCTTTCACCACTGTAGACCATAATGGATTCATCCAGATCAATGCATGGTAGAGTCTACTTAAGTTACATGGAGTTGAAAGGCTTAAACATACATGCCCTTCTCCACTGCTGCTCAAGAAGTGTGTTAGTATGTTTTCTGAACTTATAACCCATGATTATGGGCAATTCCTAACTTTAATCATTTCTTGTAAAGTTCTCCATGTTTTTTACTGTGATTGCTATACATGTATAATATGCCTTCATATTTGTTAAGTTGTAGATTATACTGAATGTAACCAGTAACGGCTGTTGGGGGGAAAATGATGGATGGGGTGGGTCATACGGTACTTGCTAACTCTCCCTATTAAGGAGAAAGACTTCCAATTTTGGACCCTCCAATTGAGTGTTTCCAACCAGTGAATTTACTTAACTGTTCCTATATTCTAAGATCTAACGATTTCATCTGAAAGAGCAACTCAAAATATGTCATTTTAACAGGTTATTTTGTCTCTAGGGGGTGAATACACACATTCTATTTCTGTTTTAGTTTTGAGAATACATTCATTGTCTTATATTTTCATCAAATTGTCCAGCCTCATCATAACATGTTTAATTTTAGCCTTGCTTCAACTCATCAATCAGTACAGATAATAGTTTGATTTTGTTAACGTCTTATTAACAGCTAAGGTCATTTAAGGACATGCCTACATGTGTATTGTGAATGCGTGCTGTGCATGTGTGTCGGAGACAGGGTATGTTGGTTCTATTGCCTCCTAGTGAAAGCGCGGATCAGTGGCCAACTTTATAGTGCTATTAGTTGATAGAGAATGTAATTAAGAATGTTATATTTAATCCCATGATATATAGAATCACATATTACCACTTATTACGCTACAAAATCACTATAGGTGATTATTGCTGTAATATCCTTTCTATTTGTATCAGACCAAACAAACAAAAGGTTACAAGTGTGTATCCTGTAATATGTTTGAAAAATTAAGGATAGGAAAGGAGGTTGATAACCAATTTTATTTTAGAATATAATATTTTATATGGTACATAGGAGAGTGGTTTTGTCTTAACTTCAACAATTAAATGTGCTTCTTTGAAAATTATCTAAAAATGTTCAGGGTAGACTCTACAAATGTTCAGGGTAGGCACTAAAAATTAGGGTAGCTAGGGTTAATGGGCAACACCAACTATTTTTTGCTTGACCTTATGATACAAGTAAATCAGATAGCTTTAAAATAGGTTAACCTTCTTTCGATAGTCTTCTTCAACTTCCTTGTGATGTGCCTTCATACGATAATGTTCACGTTTTTGTTGTTGAAACATCTTTTTACTTGAACTCAAGTCAAAAACTTTCACTTTCCCTCCCGGGTCAGCTATGTGTCGCTTTGATTTTGTTCCTTTGTGTTTCTGCTTAAGACTTTCATTCTGAAAAAGATGAGGATGAAGTTAAAACTAGAAAAACAATTAAAACAGAAATATTTCTGAACTCTTCTTTCATACCTATTGGCTTTTAACAGAATCTGCACAAGTTACCGTACATTGAACCAGGTATTTATCAACAAGTTATGAAAATGCAAGAAAAATAAAATGTTTAACTTGTACAAAATCCTCATATATATATTATAAATCAGAAAAATGATCCTTTTAAGATCTCTATCTTAATATATATATATTCTTTCCCTGGACAAACTTCAATTAGCAGACCACTTTAACAAGTGTGCCACTAATGAGTCATTATGTACAGTAAATCCTCTGGTTTATAAATTCCTTATCCTATGTACTATTGTACTCATACTTAAGAGGGAATTCAGAAATTAACGAAACTTCTCACCTTCTGCTTATCAACGACTGTCTTTGTTTTTTGTTTTTGTGAGAAGTCATTGGAACTTACATTAGACTGTTCTGACGGAGCTCCTGTTGATACAGCAAAATATCTCTTTGGTTTCGTTGGTGTCTTTCCTTTATTTTTGTTTTTATTACCCTCATCACCCTGAGAAAACAAAACTAAACACATGTACATCAGATATAAACTCTGTGGTAACATTATACATGTACAGATATATTTGTTTCAATACGTGTAGCATTAATCAAAACTATTACAACAATAAAATAATGAAAAGAAACATTGTTACAATGGTTTTGAACAATGCCACACACTCAAAAAATGTGAAAGTGATGAATTTGACAGAAATTCATTTTTTTCAGTATTTTTTACAAAAATCTCCCCAGTTTATCGAAATGCTTAGATTTTCATAAAATCATCTCAACATAGTGACATAACCATTATGTGAAACTTTCATTGAATTCTGCTGGCTAATTGTGAAAGGGTGGAGCCTCCTTAAAAGAGTATGTTTCCACATTTGCGCATATATATGTCATATATATTGTGTAAATGTAAAAGCATTAACTGAAAACAATTCACTAAAATTGAACATATAATGTATTTTGGATTCAGATTTCTCTTTCCATCCATAATTCGTGACTTTGTGCACAACTTGCTGTAATTCAAACTGGCCTATTGGAAGAATAGTGGCTGGGGATTAGTAGGTAACCTGGTGTCAGCGTATAGTGTTGCCCTGTTGAAAGTTTTGGTGCAAGTGGTGAGAAACTCATTAACCTAACTGCTGTGTTTGTACTAAAATGCTGATATTTGGCATGGAAGATCCCAAAATTTAAAACATCCAAAACAGTTTGGTCAAAACAGTATTTCTAAATTTTGATCTGTCTTTCACAGATACATTTTGCCAAAAGGTCATACCTCTATCTTAAATAGACAGGCACCTAATACAAATGTATAATTTAGAAACTTATGCAAAATTTAACTGTGTTCCGAAAGGGTGCAACATGCATCCATGAAGGGAAGCGGGAAACAAGAGTCCCAATGGGCTTGCTTTGCTCACATGGTATTACTCTCACAATTGTAACCTTAAAAGGGATCTAAAGTAAAGCTATAGGCAAAATTTCAGCGCTTATGACTAAATAAATCATTCAAAAGAACCTCATAGAAGATGTTAAAACATTTGACCCCTGTGACCTTGAAAGTCAAACAAGGTTGTTGAAATGAACAAACTTTACAGCCCTTCATCTCAGGATGCAACTTGCTAAATATCACTACCCTTGACATTTCTTTATTGAGATTAGTTCATTTAAACATATCTGACCCCTGTGACATTGAAAATGGGTAACGGTCACTCATTTGAACAAACTTGCAAAATTTTGGTAGCCCTTCATCCAAGCATGCCACTCACTGACCAAATATCAACACCCTAAGCTTTCTGGTTATTAAAAGGAAGTCATTTAAAGATTTCAAACATATTTGACCCCTGTGACCTTGACAATGGGCAAAGGTCATTCATTTGAACAAATTTGGTAGCCCTTCATCCAAGCATGCTTCTGGCCAAATATCATAACCCGGGGCCATTTGGTTATTCAGAAGACATCGTTTGAATGTTTAAAACATATTTGACCACTATGACCTTGAATATTAGTCAAGGTCATTCATTTAACAAACTTTGTAGCCCTTTAACCTAGCATGCTTCTGGCCAAATATCATTATCCTTGGCCTTTTGGTCATTCAGAAAAAGTCATTTTAAGATTGTAAACATATTTGACCCCTGTGACCTTGAAAATTGGCAAAGGTCATTCATTTGAACAAACTTGGTAGCCCTTCATTCAAGCATGCTACTGGCCAAAAAGTAAAAAGTTGACGCATGACGGACGCCGCACCATGGCATTGATAAGCTCACTTGGCCCTTCATATTCGGGCCAGGTGATCAGCATAAAATGATATAATAATTTTTTTTTACCTGCTTTGGTAATCATTTCTTATGTCAAAATCCCGAAGTTAAAGTTTCAGTGCAAATGACAGCTAGGCAAATGTAGCTAGGTTGTTGGTTGAACAGGGTTTAATGTCCTATCAACAGCTTATTTATAAGGTCATTTAAGGTCATGCCTCAGTGTGTGTTGTGTATAATGCATGCATTTGTGAATTAGTGCTGGAGGGTATGTTGGTGTGTTTGTCTCTAAATTGTGATAGCTGACTCTATAGTGCTATCTCACTGAAATACCATGCCGAAAGCACCAGCATAGCAATCTACCCGGTAACATTAACTGACAACAGGTGAACCAGTTGTTGTCATCGCCCCTGAATGCTAAAACAGCTATATACCATTTTTAAGGACTTTGGTATGTCCTGGATGGTGATATTTGGCAGAGAAGTTCTAGATGTGCTCTTAACTTTGCTGCATAGAAGTCACAACAGTATACGTAATTTAAGCATTTTGACCAGGGCATTGTAAGGGGTTGACAGTGAACAGAAAGTTGGTTCTTTTGTTTGTGACAAATAACACCTAGTTGAAGTAGTTCCACTTTAGATAGACCATATTATTTTCAGTGAGAAAAAAACTACAAACATGAGACATTTTTTGTTATATCATTAAATGTGAGAAAACAGTAGCTCTTGCAAAATTGTTTCAAACATGTTTTGGATGGATTAGCTCTTCTTGCACCTCAGACAGGAGTTACCCACATGAAACCCAATTCTAAATTTTTCTGTTTCGTCCAATTTGTCTGGCACCTACTGTTTATGCAACATTTTGCAGAACTTTCACAAAAGCAATGTAAAAGTAATACACTGGTACATTTTTAAAAAATCTGTTTTGTTCTTACATATATTTATTGTTTTGGTGTTTTTAGATACCTATTGTTGTAAATAACATCAATCTACAATGTGAAATATGTCTTCTGTTTGCCCAAAAGCATTCAAACATAGTTTAAGAAGTAAGTACACCCTGTTGCCATTTTGTTACAGAATCTTAGCCCTCGACTGATCAGTTACCCCAATCACACTCATCTATCTAGATCTGTCAAAATTTTCAAATGTGTTTAGAATTCTAACTGTAAATTGAAATAAAAATTGTATAAAAAAATAAGGGTGTTACAATTAATAATAATGATATCTATATTTGAGGGTTACATATTTAGTACAAGACTAATCGTCCATATGGCCCTCTCAAGCATCATACAAACATGTTAACTGACATTAAAACAGATTATTATGCTAACTACAAAATCATGAACAATAAATAAACATTATGTAAGATTACTGAATGCTACTATTGTTTATCAAAAAGTATACGCTGCATACATGTACTTTTTTGTAGTAGATCTAATACCCTTATTTTTTAAACGATTTTTATCTCAATTTACAGCCAGAATTTGGTAATATGCATGCATGAAGGTTCAAAAGGGATGAAATATTTTTGCACATGTACAGAAGACAGACGTTTTTGTAACCACTTCATCTGGTGCCTGTTTATTATTAAGAGATTATTTATGGGACTAGGGTTAAATGCAGTTTTAAATTTGTTATCTGAGATCTAGTTTCTTTCGATAATCATCGGTGTAAGCTTTTGGAGATGTCTTGATTCTATTTCATTTACTTATTGATAATGTTTGACATGGCAGTGTAAACTCGGCGCGTCTAATTACCCAATACTACCCAATACCACCCAATACTACCCAATACCACCCAATACTACCCAATACTACCCAATACCACCCAATACTACCCCATACGACCCAGTTATGAACCAACTACTTCTTTATGACTGTGAAATATCACCTTTGTAGACGTTATTTACTTCCATCTGCCTTATTTTATCGGGAAATATGCGATTTGGTGCCGAAAACATCACCGAATTGCCGTGACTAGGACCCAATACTACCCAATATTACCCCATACGACCCAATTATGAACCAAATACTTCTTTATGACTGTGAAATATCACCTTTGTAGACGTTATTTACTTCCATCTGCCTTATTTTATCGGGAAATATGCGATTTGGTGCCGAAAACATCACCGAATTGCCGTGACTAGGACCCAATACTACCCAATATTACCCCATACGACCCAATTATGAACCAAATACTTCTTTATGACTGTGAAATATCACCTTTGTAGACGTTATTTACTTCCATCTGCCTTATTTTATCGGGAAATATGCGATTTGGTGCCGAAAACATCACCGAATTGCCGTGACTAGGACCCAATACTACCCCATACCACCCAATACTACCCCATACGATCCAGTTATGAACCCAATACTTCTTTATTACTGTGAAATATCGCATTTCTTGAAGTTATTTACTTCTATATGTCACATCCTATCTGGACATATGCGATTTGGTGCAGAAAACATCACCGAAATGCGTGACTAGGGGTTCGACGATTTACAGGAACGGGCAGAAATCTATTAATTATTATATATACATTGATGAATATATATATTTAATTAGATACATTTAAGTATCATTATCGGGTATAAGATATATTTGATAAAAGAATTGCAATTACATGATAC